ATTTTCGTTTGGATTTTGTCCAGCTGGTGGGAGAGTTCATTTTGGTTATCAAAGCAATTTCCTTCTTTGTTGGCCCTACTTTTTGCAGTTTTTGTGTGCTTTGGTCGTTTTAATTAAGTCAAAGTGTTTGCTTACACACAAAAACTGTATGAAAAAAAACGAAATGTATAAACATTCCTGGGTAAATATTTTTGTTTGGAAAATACTCGTGGCTTATGCACTCATATCGATGCAATCTGAATTTTTGCTACCGTTTAATCTCCTCCTTTCATATGTCAGATGGATTTATTATTATTTAATAATTGTGTCGTATGAATGAATACTTAATAAGTGGTAAAATGAATTGACCTTAAAAAAGGATGTGTAATCACTTTTCGTTGGTTGTTACACTATTTCTGTGAAATTTTATACATTGACATCTCATAGATTTTTCCAAGAATATTCACTAATAAATATAAGAACACTTACATATTCAGGGAAATCAACTAATATTTATATGAAATATATATAAATGAACTCACAGACATAAAGAACTAATTAATTAAATATACTTTTTTGGGTCAGCATATAAGTTTCTCCTCCTAGGAACCTATTACTTATGCATGAACTTGTCTTTAAAGTAATGTTTTGAGTTTTCGAGAGGTTATTAAACTAATGAAAAATAGTCACTTAGACAAATCCTTGAGTGGATATCAAGCAAGAAATTCGTTGGAGTTGGAGTTGGAGAAGCAAAAGTGGCAAAGGAACACGTACACAGCCCCGTTCCTCAGGTGAACTACAAGGACACTCAACTAGCTGGGGAGACAGTCGGCGTGGATTTGGGCAGGACTCGGTGGTGGGCGGGGTGAAAAGCCGTCAGTTGGGCTGCCGTGACAACGCCCAAATGGCAAAATGGCCAAAACGCCGGTAGGTCGAAGGCGTACGAGTGAGCGAAATAAAAAACGCATATTGCCTAAATTTCGATGTCAAAGGCGGAGGCAGGTCACAAAGTCGGTTTTTGGATTCGGATTCGCTGGTAGCCAGGACCACGGAAATTGAGGGCCAAAGGAGGAGCTGAGAGAGTCAGGTGCGTGTGCGGTACTTATGAGTGGCACTTTGTCTGGCCTAATACCCATCATTAGAGCATTTAACAGGAAACACGTGACGCTGCATAGCAGCCAACCTGCCCCGACCCTTCCATTATCCACCTCATGTCATTCTGGAAAATCTAAAACAGTGGAAAAGTGCGGGGAAATGGCACTTTAAACAGGGCCTACGGTTTTCACACCCGAAAAGGATTTGTCAAAGCTGACTTTTGAGGGGGGAGATCCGGATTGGAGGGCAGCAGGCTCCTTCAGGCTAGACACAGCGTCGTGCATGGCGCACTGATTGTGCCCAGAAAATGTAATTAAATTCGAATTTCCTACAAGTTTTAAGCCAGATAAGCGACTTGTGAGTACCGCGACTTACAGTAGGGTTAGTACTTTATCCGATGTTGGATTACATTTATTCTAACCTAGTCTTAAATCGCCTTCGAAACTATTTATTACAAATTATCAAATTAATTTCGAAAAGTGCCGCTGAAAATACTGAAAATTATACATGTCCAGTACAAACCAACCAATATGTTTATTTTCATAACCGTTTTTCAAACTCAAAACTTTTCTTCTGTGCTATGGGAATTAGTCTTAACAATTAAATCTCAAATAAAACTGACACATAATTTTAATAAAGTGCAAGCACTGTATTGTTGATCTATTATGTGTTATAATCCCAGCATACGGCTTGAAAGCGCCATCTAGGGCTCGCTTGTAATTTCATATAAATTCTACATGAATTATACATTATACATGAAGTAGTTCCCTTGGCGCCAAATTAGTAAAAGTTCAAGCCGCAGTCACATTTTAAAGACTCGTTTTATTCAGTTAATATAAAGCTATTTCTGACTGCAGCGCCATCAACGTTCATTAAGCGTTTAGAAAAATCGTTAATTTGAATATTTCAGTATCTGGGTGTGTGTTTTGGTGTGTGTGGTGTGTGGCTTCTCGACTGTGTGAAGAATTGTGCTGTTGCTGGATTAAAAGTAAAAAATCTAAATCGAAAAATACTTGACTGACATCCGCCGCGAGGCGTCCCTCCATTTGGTACGAAGTTTGTACATTACGAGTTAATAACTATTCTAATTGAAAGTTAGTGCATTAAGTAGACCAGCATGGCGGCGAGCGTGGTGGCCAGTAGGCCGGCAACTCCGGATCCCAGCGATGGAGCACCTCCCGTCCGGCAGTAGTATTCCCCACAGTCCGCATCCGCAATGGTCTTGTACTTCTCGAGCACATCGGACCACTTGCACAGACCCACGCTGCACCAGTCCAGCTGCACCGCCTGCTGGTTGAGGAAGAAGACCGCCTTCTCGCGATCCAAGTCCGCCGGACAGTCGTACTTCACCGCCACGAAGTTGGCGGCAAACGGATCGATCAGGCTGCTCTTCCAACGGCGGCTCGTCAAGCTGTCGTAGTTGTCCGCCCTCAGCTTGATGTCGTCCTTCTGGATTCCCAGCGCAGTAATCAGGGTGAGGAGACCCGTCGAGTGGCCGAAGTGAGCCACCACATGGGGCGACACCGGGTTGCTCAGGTGGGTGAGCAGGTCCTGCACCAGGCGGCAGTTAAGATGCGCGTTTTCCGGGAATCCATACCCCGAGCCGTAGTAGTACTTCAGATCCTCCAGGTACTCAAAGACCGTTATTTGCTCCGGCAGGAAGGCGCCGCACCAGACGCTATTGCGATCCACCTGCAATTCGCAGTTGACCAATTAACCAATTAACCAATTCAGAGTAAGAGTTCCACGAAAAACACTCACATTCCACGCCTGCTCATAGCGGCACATGTCGTACATCAGCTTGATGTCCGCTTCCTCCAGGTTGTAGAGGAAACTGGGTACGAAGAGGAGTATGTTTTAGATCGACACTACTTGAACTTCAAAACTTACCCCAATCGAGTGGAGATATCTGCCAAGGTGTCGTTGTACAGCTTAGACTGATGGAACTTGAAGTACTCAGAGCCCTCATCCTTGTAGTTTACATCCTTGAAAGAGGAGCAATAGTCGTAGGGACGCAGCAGTAGATCCTGCTTGGGAATCTCGACGGGATGCGCGTCGTTTTGGGATCCGAAGAGACCCTCGGCGAAAGCCTTAAAGCTTTCTGTGGTGCGCTGGGTGTCCGTGTGGCGGAACTGGGTGGATGATGGTTACAAATAAATATATATTCCGTAGGTGTGCAGCCGTTCTGGAACTCACCTGGTAATAGGTATCGTTGAAAGTGGGGGGCAGCACACTGGGGTAGTACCGCTGGTACAGCTTGGCCGTGCCCCTGAGATCCTCGTAACCCTGGGCGGTCAGATACTCCTCCATGTCAGGGGTTATGCTGCTGTTCCACTTCCACAGCTTGATGGCAATCAAGTCCGTCTGGCACAGGGCATCCGTTTCGGGCTTGGTCCTGGCCACTTGGTAGTTTTTGATGATGAGATCGCGCAGCTATAAATGATTTTTTATACATATTTAATTGCGTTTATCGAATTCACAAAAACGAATGAAGGCCATTTGGTTTTGAATGGCTGCTACTTGTGCTGCAAACAAATGATATATTTGTAAAGATTACAACGTCGTAAACTTTAAACAGCTATAGCTCATATTTCTGGGCAATAAAACGTTTCCTAAATGGGCAGCTTGGCTGTTAATGAATTATTGCTTTGAGCCAAGTTCTTTGAAGTTTTTAAATCACTGAATAAATTATTAGGTTTCACTTTCGTAGGTTTCGGGGCTATGAAACTATTGGAGCTTTGTGGGCTGTGAGACTCACCTCGGCCACTCTGGGCGCCTTCTTGATCATGCTCGTCTTGGGCAGGCGTGTGCCGTGCCTGTGGAAGATCCACATCTTCTGGGGCTGACAGCCGGGCACCAGGTACTGCTTGTCGATGTCCGTGCCCTTGACGATCTGGTAGGCGGTCTTCGAGGAGAACTGGCGGGTCTGGAGGCGGGAGGTGTCCTTGCTGAAGCAGTAGTCATCTTGGGCGATGGCCACCAGTGGCAGCAGTAGCAGAATCAGCAGGCGCATAGCTCTGGGGAAATTCAGATGGAAATGGAGGATAGAGTCAGCTGGGAGGCGGCGAAAGGGTTGCCCCAACATTTAACGGGCCCAGCCTTCGGTTGGGCGCATATCCTTGAACTGTCGTCCTGTCCACTGGCTGCCTGACTGTGGCTGCCCTAATGGACACAACGAGTGTCATATGTGAAGGCCCGCTGGAAACCACCCACCTCAGACAGCGGAAAGGTGTGGCATTTAAATTGCTTCGCTGGCGTCTGGCAAGGAACTTGGCAAGACAATCTGGGAGGGGCCCACAGAATCGAATCGAATGGAAATCCAGTCGGAGTTCGGAAGAAATGCCAGCACACACGCACCCACACTGGGAAAAATTGCACTCTGATCTAGAGAACGATACATTTTAGCAACCCCATCAAATCGAATTATTTAAAATGTGTTTGCATTTTTTTGTAGACTGGCATTCATATCCCGATTTTAGGGCAATTGAATAACGAAATACAAACTTTAAGCAGATTTCATAACCAATCACTAAAGATTTTGCAACTTTATAAAAACTCATTTATAGTTCGTCTTATATTTTTCCCAGATATGACTCTTCCTCATTTTTCTGAGTGCATCCAAACGCCGCCAAGAACTAACCTAACTCTGGCCCTGAAAATTAGGCTAATGATTCTCGCTTGGCCCTGCTAACAAATTGCTGCAGTTCTAGTCCTCCACGTGGCTTTTAGTCATCACCCCAAGTCCATCAACCGAACTCCAACCCCTGTCTCCACCTTCACACTCCTTTTCCAATTAGGTCAGGCCAACAAGTTGGGATTGCTCATAGATTGCTCATAAAAGATTGTAATGTTTCAATTTAGTGCCCGCATCCGACATTGATTATTGCGGCCCTTTTGCAGGGAATTTCGATGGGTATACAATAGCTCATTAGCGTCTTGTAATCCGAACTGACTTCGGAGATAGTTTTAATATGATTTTTGAGTGACAAGCTGGCCCGACGCTTTACTTCCAAAATTTAATAGCAAGCGAGGTACTTTCAGAATCTACAAATCAAAATGAGTTTAAAGAAAAAAGTGTGTGGTTTATGGTGCAAGCACAAGCCATCGGCAAATCAGAAATCATTGGCCATAGCCTTGTAAGTGTAAAGATAAAGCAGAAATACAGTACGCACCAAAGGACAAAAGATACCCAAAGTTGCATTTTCGGCAGAGTTGCCAGCCTGACTTAAGAAGCTCATACAGTATTGTCATTACTTTTTTTTTATGTCTACAGCGTACCATCAGCCGCCACCTTTGGGCTGGCTGCAGCTTTGGCTGTTGTTTATTATACGGATTGGAAAGTAATTGCCGGATGGATTCCCCTATACAATACCAAGTTTCCTAAGCCCGAAGACCCAAAGAAAAAGAAGAAATAGGAAATGCATCACTTATTTTTAGTCTCTATGGCTGAACAAAATCGTACTCTCAAAGATCGTGCTTTTTACGGAAAATTATTCAAATAAACTGACTGGTATTCAATGTTTTCTATGTATTTTCGGTGCCTTTTGCGGTTTAATGTTTCTTACATTTTGGAAATGCATTTGGTGGAACATGCTTCCAAGCTAAATAAATGCTCTGCCAGTCAAAACACAAGTCGAAAGAACAACAAATAAATTGTTGCCACAGCACCAGAAATAGATGATCCAAAAACCACCCGAAAAGCCCCTTAATCCAAAAACTACATCTTGGAAAAAATGGGGGTTTTTTGTGTTTACAGATTCGACCCCATCGATCGCTGGTAAATGCAGTTGGGCAACCTGTTGCACGGATGGCATAGTAAATAAATAAATATGACGGATATGTGACGCTGGTACACAGAAATAAATTATTCCTATTGAATATTATTCAATTTCGGGTTGGTTAAATTTAAGGTATTCCCAAATACTTAGTAATCGAATCAAATTCTGTATAAATGTGCAACCATGTATCAACAAATAATGCGTTATCGTGATTGTACAGATTGTATTTATTTCGAACTTCGTACCAATGCCTTAGGTTTTCTCTCTGTGCACCTGTGACGTCAGTGGCATAGCATTGACAGCTGCAATTAGCTTGTGAAATTTCCAATTACATATCCCATGTGCGGAAGGCCAAAAAGCGATCTGACACACGCATCTAATTTTGCTGCCTCCAGTGCCATCTTTGCATTTTCAAGTGCAAATAATTGCCTCACATTCTCATCGCATCCAGCGGATTGGTTGCACTTCTCTAGCGCTACAGATACTTCAGATATTTCCCGATATTTCAGACGATCTGCTATCTGAGACCTCCTCCTTGGGCACTCCCCTAATCAATTGAATGCCCCTCCTTTGTTTGCATTTTCAACCCATTCCATCCCATCGGCATTTTTCTAGTTTTGTGTTTTCTCAATGCGAAATTAAAATTCCAATTTGGCTGCCATCTCGTGTTTACTTAGCTGGCTTTTATGAACTGGGCGAGCAAATTGGTGCCAACCCCCTCGTTTGTAAAACAGATTCGCCAGCTCGGAAAACTAATTTGATCCGCGAATAATTTGTAATATATGATATTCGCTAAATGTTCTCTATAGAAGTGTTCGTGACATTCGGCTAATTTGCCTGATTGTGTACATATATGGAAATCGCCTTGTTATATAGCGATCATATCGAATGTGGCATATTAATAAGGGTAGGGCTTTGAAAATTAATTACAACTACAGGTTTATATATATTTTTGTCGTTTTTGCAAATATCTTAGTGTTCTTGTAATATACTTTTGTTTCGGTGTACCCTTTGCCTTTCAACAAATCTGTAGTTCTTATATTTCTGAGAGATCTGCCCTCGTGCTGGTTTCATTTGTGAATTTATTTTTTTAGAGCATAGAGCATAAATCAAAACAGAAATATATTTGGCTGCTGTTTTTTGCTGTATTTCGCTGTTTCCACTTTGCCTAATTTATAGATGTGTTTTTCTCTAATTCTTCTTTTGCCAGTCTGCAGCACATGACATTGCCAGTGACTCAAAATCCAATTCATCGTTCCCCCAATTGATTTCTCCAGCACACACTGATCGATCTGGGATCGTTGAACCTCTACGGGGAAATTAAATAATTTTGATTACGAAACAATTCGGAGATGTGGAGCAGTGAATGCGCAGATACTTGCACCAATTGCTGGCCAAGTTAATTGATCACACACGCAAACAGCCGGCGAGCGCTTTCGAGCGTTTCGCTAGCGGTTTTCACAGCTCCCCGCGAATATTGTCGCCCAAAAAGTGAGTGAAAAAGTGTAGAATGCTAAAATCAAAGATCCACAGCTACTGTGCATATTAATTGGCGAGTGTGTGCAAATGAGCGGCGGGAGGTGGGCGAGTGCCAGGTCGACAATTATCGTAATGATGCTCAAGCGCAATTCACTTAAAATCCCCGACACGTCCCCTTCCAATGTCGCATATTTCATGCACACCATATAAAGCCAGATATTACACAGGCCTCCCGTATATACATATGTTGTATATATGGACAGTCTTGGGAGACCGGAACATCCATGTTCCGAGCTTAACATAAAAAACATTGGGACGTTGGGACATTGGGCCATAGGCCATCGGAAGACAAGGCCACCTTCTAGTTAATATGCAGACATCGAATTCCTCCGGGAAAGCGGCGTTTGGAGCCCCGGATAATAGTTCTTGGCCCGCCTTTGGGAATCTTTAATTAAATGCGATACCCGAATATTGGCTGGCGCATAAAGTACGTAATTTATCACCCAGGGCCCCGGGCGACCTTCCCCATTACAATTCCCATGGATCTGTGGTATCTCCGGTCTGGCCTGTGCTTGGTTGGTAAATACGAGTATTTTAAAATACGAGTATGCCGCCTGCTTGACCTCAGCGTGACAAGTGGCAAGTGGCAAGTGGGGAGGGGAATGGTGCTTGGAATTTTGAAAGAGTTTCCAAAAGTATTTTCGGGGATAGTTCTTTGGCAGGCGGAATATCTGACGTCGTTCGCATTTCGAATGGCTTATTTCCCAATGATATACGCATTCACTAATGCCCATTAAAAATCGAGAACAGTGCTGACTATTTTCGACGACAAACAAGGAAGCCAAAGGAATATAATGGAAAGTGTTTCGGTTAAGGTTAAGTGAGCAATGGCGAATGCCAAAACGATTTGGCAACGTTTCAAGAGTGAACAACTTTTGACAAATTCTGCAATTTATTTGAGGCGAGTGGTGTGATCGTGAGAATTGTGCTCTCTTTTGGTTTCTAAGTATAAAAGTGGCTAATTACAGTCCAAGCACTGCCACTATTTTACACTATGTAATCGTGCTCTGTGCTTTATACACGAACATTTCTTGAGAAGTTTAGTAACCTACAAATTGTGCAACTTAAAAGGAGGAAAACTATTTAAAACCTATATATATCGTACTTTCAAGAGCAAGCAAACAGTAAATCGCCAGCTATCGTCAAAAGAAGATAAACACAAGCCTGAAATAAAAATTAGAATAATTTACCTAATCCCATTAAAAATATTGTTCTTTGTCTGGAATTAAAATAGCTTAATATAAGGGATTATGGGTACATTTTTGTCAATTTGATATTGTTATTGAAATTTTTAAAATAAGATAATGACTCCCCTTGTATATGTCATAAGCATAGATAAACAGTTTTGTTTATATTATCAGATGAGATCAGAAGCCAGCGAAAAATTTATTTGCCCCCTCAATAGGGCCAAACATTTGCTTACAGCTTGTGCAACTTGGCCAAAACGATTTGAACGGAGGGCAGATGAAAAAATAGTGCTATGGAAACCAGCGACCAAATTTTCCAAGAGCAATGCGATCGCAGCAGAGGGAAAACAAGTTAGAGTCGTTGGCCTAAAACCGGTTTTCTCGGCCTCTCTTTTGGCCAAATGCTTGTTTGTTTGTTTTTTCCTAGGTAGTTGGCCCACATAATGGGCCGACACTCGCCCACGCCCCTCAGGTAGCAAAAATGACAAGTATTGAAGCCGTCGACATATTCAAGCAGCAAAAACTCGCGGGAATTCCGAATATTTTCTAGGGCTGAGCCCCAGAAAATCCAGATTCGTATGTGAGTTAAGCGAAATTATATATTTAATGTGTCCCCGCGCTCCTTAAAAAGGGGAGCAGAATGGAGCTGAGCATGGCGTGTCCAAGCGAGAGTCGCGTGCCCGCGGGGCCACTCATAAATCTGGTAATCCCCCCGAGAATTTGGGCATCGGGAAGTGAAGTTGACCGACAAGACACTTGCTCCAACTATTTGTTTGCGTAATTTGCCTATCTCTGTGCTGCTATCCACTTTAAGTGCACGAACTTAGATTAATCTCCCTGCGCCGGAGACTTAATTACTTTAAGCGCGTTGTTAAAACGCGTGCAAAACGCACTCGGCTCATTTGAGTCACTCAGATGATGCAAACGGCTGCCACCTGCTAATTTGATTGCTCGACCAACGAAACGCGATTTGGCCACGATTTCTGGCAAAAAAATACGATTTGATTTCAGCCTAGAACGTTGAACCTATCATAGGGTTAGCTGCACTGCAAGAAATTCTATAGTTTCATTAACATGCATGTTTCATGTATTAAATGCAGAAAAGGTAGGAGAAAAAATGTAGTAGTAACCAACCTAAGTAAATATGGACGGCAAACGGAAAAATGTTGTAGTTGCACGAACTAAAAGTCATTCTCTGAAACTTAAGATCTTTCTCGGTGTTTTCTGCCCTTTGGCGAATAAAAAGTAAAGTCTCACGCTGCGTGGAAATGGAAACCGAAATAAACTAAGAAGCAAGCAAAACAAAATTCGTTCCCAAAACTGATTAATTTGGACACCTCAAGTTTCCAGCCGTTTCCATTCATATGCAAAACGTCGAATGGTAACAATTTAAAACTATATTATTTCGCTGAGCTCATCACGAAATCGAACGACAAAAAAAACACAGAAATACGCTATTTGTTTAGCCGTTTGTTATACAACAATTATTCGTAGATGATCGTCAAACAGGTTCCCCAAGCAAATTCCATCTAGAAAACTGTGACTGCGAATTACGAGAATAACAGAAACCGCAGGTGCAACTGGGAAATAGCAAAAATTGATAGATGGAGTGCAGTCTAATGGATCAATTAAGTGCTATGCAATTGCCGCTGCCAAAATGATCGCGAGAATTTCTTGGCGCAAATTATGTGAATTTCGTTCTGAATAGACGATAGTTATGCCTCATAAATTGTGCTCATGACATTATACCATAATTTGGAATTGGCATCATCTTTGAGCCGCTCACACATACACACGCACGCACCTATTTGATAATTTAAATGCACTTGGTAAACAGTTGAAGTTGGGCAGTTGTTTCCTTAACCGTTTCAAGCGACTTAACCGCGACGTCGCGACCGCTGAACGCTCGAAATGAAACTGATGAAAACGCGCCCAAATCGCCTCCAAGTTGCCTCTCTTTCCATTTCCACACGCGGCTCTCCCTTTCTCTTTGCTCTGAGAAATACGCGATAAGAGATTACAATTTGTAAACAATTTGCGCAGGTGGGAAACCTCTGATGAGATGAAGATAAGAAGCAACGATAACTCATTATACTTATTAAAAAAGGCTCCAACAGGGAAGAACTACGACAATTAGGGACAACAGAGACTTAAATAATATATTATAATATTTATAATATAATATAAATATAAATATATATAAGTATGTGTATATACATATATGTATATATAATGTATGATAGTTTACTACATTATTCATCAGTTAGAAACTTATTCTTTATTATTATTATTTATTATTTAGTTAGTTATGTTTACTCACAATTTTCATTAGAATATGTACAATATATGTACATACAATCTCAGTTAAATCCAAAGCTCGCTAATTCCAATTTGCTGTATATTGCATTCCAAGTTTTTATGAGTCTGTCTAAACGAGATAATTTTTTTTTTTTTTGGTTAGCATAAAACTCACACTTTTTATTTATAGCAGTTCTCGTAATAAAGAATGAACACTGGTGTGTTCTTTTAATTAGCTTTAAGTGGTACATAAATTTAGACCATATGTTACTTCAATCTTTAATAATCACAGTTGAAATTTTGTTGAATCACCTGATTACCAATAGAACGCCCAAAGTTCACCTCCATCGATTCAGGCGTTCAAGTTTACTGATTTGGCGGCAGTAATCACATTTGCCTGATAACAAATAAACCTACAGGGAACTGGTGATCCTTAGTATAGATTTCACTTGCAATATCATCGGACTTCCACTCCTAGCAGATAAGTAATTGGCGCAGAACTCGAACAATATGTCTTTCTGTGAAGATTACTACCCGAATCGATAAGCAGATGACATTCTCAAGTGGCACCGATCTATTATAGACACTTAAAAGCCGAATAAGTTCATAACTATGACGTTAGTCAAGGACTTACTTGTATCTCAAGCCCAGGGCTTTTCTGTAAACTCCAAAAATCCCCTAATACCTCGTAAAATGTACTCAAAGTGCCCACTGCAATCTGGTAATTTATTATTACATTTATTAGTGGGCACTTTGATAAGAACTTTTGATGTAAAAATATATAAAACCATTTAACAATAAATAATGATATTAATTCCAAGAACCCTTGCATTTCTTATATAAATAAGTTAGTTTTTCTGAAGTTTTGGCTGTTTAGTTGATAAGTTAGTTATAATATAGTTTTAAGTTTATCTGCTCAAGGTTTTTTGTACCACTTTTTTCTTACTTTAAAATATTAAATCAATAAATTGTAATAATAAATATAATTTAAATTTTTCAGTTGTTAAGATGCCTTTAAAATCTAGCCTTAAGCAAAATATTATAAAAATTGTATGATAATAAAGCAAACTCATTAATTAAATATTATTTATCATCTTGAATACTATTTAGTTTTATTGAAAATCGACATAATAACATACGTGTATTTCAAATGGCCGCACATATAAAAAAGAAATTTATTAAATGCGCATTCCACTTCGTTCTAATTCAAGTCATCTTTAAAATATATATGACATTTGCTCTAATAAAAACTAGACTTTACGGGTTTTTCCTGATAATCAACTTGTATTAATTCTAAAACCTGTCTAAAATGTTCTTATGTTTTAAAAATTACTTACCAATTGTTAAAAAGTCTTCATAAGGCTCAAGGAGGCACAGTTAAAGAGACGGTAAGAAAACTTAAAAATCTACAATTTTTTTAAATATTGCCTGGAAAACTATCGATAGACGTCATCGAGCGTATGCAGGAGAACAGCTGTTTTTGCTGATATCGAGTCACGATAGGCAACGTTGCCAATTTCTTAAAATCTTTTGATGGAAGACCATTAATGGCAATACAAAATATAAACAAACAACAAGTGCTTATTTTTCCATGGCTTTATCCCATTTCTTTCGTTTAATAAGTTTAATCTATTTCCTGTACCCTTTTACTAAGATTTCCCACCTCATTAATTTAAACAGTGGATTGCAATTATACACAAAAACAGAGCAGATCAATTACAGAGATGTTTACAAGCACAATTAATGGCAATACAAAATATAAACAAACAACAAGTGTTTATCTTTCCATGGCTTTATCCCATTTATTCCGTTTAATAAATGTAATCTATTTCCTGGACCCTTTTACTAAGATTTCCCAGCTCATTAATTTAAGCAGTGGATTACAATTATACACAAAAACAGAGCAGATCAATTACAAGGACGTTTATAAGGATCATTTTATCCTTTCCATAATTGGAGGACTTTGAATAGCGTTGTTAAGCTAATGCGGCAGAGGATTTTTTAGTGCAAAATCAGAGTTAGTCGTGGGTAGAGTGCCGTTAAACCATCTGGTAACACTGAATTGAAGATAGTTCTGGAATTTCGTAGTTTTAATTACTAATAAAATCTGAGCTAAAGAAAGCAAAGCAGCCAATGTACGTTCGATCGAATACAGCGAGTCAACGGGGCGATTAGTTCAGCACTTTTCACTCATTACTTTTCATTTTTTATCGTCCACCACAAATCGACGAAAAGATGTCGGACTGGGACTCTGTGACTGTTCTAAGAAAGAAGGCACCCAAATCGTCGACCCTAAAGACGGAATCGGCGGTCAACCAGGCGCGACGCCAGGGAGTCGCCGTGGATACCCAACAGAAGTGTGAGTGCCGGCCAAACACTTCTCCCCCCATTGAAGAGTGACCCCCCTTTGCAACCATACCACTGTCGTCTAACCTAGAATCGTCTCCTGCTGCATTGCGTGGCAATTCATTTGCTACTTGTGTCATCGTTTCGTCGATTTCACAATTGCAAGCAAACCTTTCACGCTGCCTGTGAGAGATCCCCTCTAGTAATGAATCATTTTAACCCTCTCGTACAGATGGTGCTGGCACCAACAAGCAGCATGTGACCACCAAGAACACTGCCAAGCTGGACCGCGAGACCGAGGAGCTGCGCCATGACAAGATCCCCCTCGATGTGGGCAAGCTCATCCAGCAGGGACGCCAAAGCAAGGGCCTCAGCCAAAAGGACCTGGCAACTGTAGGTTCAATACTCATTTCGAAAAAACCATGAAACTAAGAGTCTTTGATTTCAATTTGAAATATTGCACTTATTACATTACATTGTATTCGATAGATAATAGAGGGATTTCTTCCAATATAGAAACTAAAGAGAACCAGCTTGCACATCGTCGCATTCTAGTTAACTCTCTTTTGTTTTTACTCCCTTTTACTCTAATTTATACAAAAAATTCATGCTGGAAGGCAGCTTTCACCTCGGCCATTATTTTAAAATCCCTTAAGAGTAGTTATTTACAATTAGCTCACCATACTTTCAATAAGTGGCTTACAATTGCTTAACTTAACCCACCTAACTCGAGCTTTATCTATTTTAGAAAATCTGCGAAAAGCAGCAAGTAGTAACTGACTACGAGGCCGGTCGCGGAATTCCAAACAACTTGATTCTAGGAAAAATGGAACGCGTTTTGGGCATAAAGCTTCGCGGCAAGGAGCGCGGCCAACCAATAGCGCCTCCCGGTAAGAAGTGAGACGACGCTGCCGCGTCCGCCGCCAGTGGTGCTCGACACACAACCACCTCAGCACGCAGCGCCCGGCAGCAGAACCATCAACACCCGGATTCTGGAGGCTGGAGCACTGTAAGCGGCAGACGCAAATGAAGCATTATCGGGAGGCTGGAGAACCAAATCAAATCGGGTCATACAGCAGCAGCTGCAGACGCAGCAAACGCAGAAGCATACAAAACCGAAGATCTAACTAATTACCACTATGAGCGCCAATTTTGCAGTTTTTTGTCCGAGCCATGGGGTTAGCGGGAATCGCAGCGCTTGCCACTTGCCAATCCCTCTACCGATAAATTAACCATTGTAATTGCCCAAAATACATACAATCACATACAAGATGCACACAACCCGGAAACGGAAACGAAGACGGACTTGAAACGCAAAAGACTTATCTGATATTAACGCGCTCATAGCTTGGAGTAGTGTTATTCGTTCATTTTGGCATTAGAGTTTGTTTTGAAACTTGATCTAAGTTATGGAATTAAAACCAAGACATGAAAGCATGGAAAACACTCGAATTTCTTTCAATCTTCTTTACACCCAATCAGCCATACCCAATATTTGCATGAACCATCCATAACCATTCAGCTAAATCCATTGAGCAGACACATTAAATGATATATGAAAATCCTTAGAGCTTAGTCGGACTTTTCTCCTTTGTAATTTATCGTGTAAGGGTCTTGAACTGTGCGTTTACAAATGCATTATACATATTATACAAAAACATATGCTAAATGTATTTAGAAACATTTTCTAGTCTACAAAATATTTAAATATTTAAGCAATGGCAATTTCTCAATGTTTATTTCCCACTGCCCAATCCCCATTCCTCCGCAGCTACGGATTCAAAGGGGAGGATATACATCTCCCGTACGTGTGTAGAAAAGAGACTTCTCTTTGCAAGTGATTTACTCTTAATTATCAAATAAATGTTTTCGGCCATCTTACATTTTAATGGTAATCCAAGGTAGTTTTATTGGGATCCTCGCATTCGCAACATAAGCTCAGTATTTATAACGAGGGAAACAGAGGAAACAAAAACCAGTAGTATTGCTGATGTATAAAGCATTAACACTGATCACATAAAAGTGCTTTTAATTTCACAAAAATGTAAAACATCGAGAATAGGCTAGCGGTTCGAATGGAAATCATTTTCATTTCGTTCGTTTTCATTCCTAAAGCAACAGGAAATAATAATAATACAACAATGATTCTTTGGCTTTTTAATGCCTTTTGATTTTAAAAAATTGGTATGTAATTGGTAATTGGTTTGTAAGAAATTCTTAATCGTTTGACTACAATTATTTTTGGATTTGCTTTGGTCAGTGACAGGTTAGGACATATTGCTTCAGCTTTAGGTGGATGAGTCCTAAGCGAAGGCTAAATCTGGGATCTCGCAATCTGCGTTCTTTTGAATAAACAACTTTAGGGCTCGCTCGAAGTCCCAATCGGCTTCCTCCACAATCGATGTGACCCAAGTGGAAATGAGCCCGGTTACCTCTTGAAACAGTAGCAATTTGTGATCCTTCACATCCAGGGAGTCCTCTTCAACCTGGCGTTCACTTGGATCCGGATAATTCACACTGAAGGCGTTTCGTATTAAAGCTTTCGATGGATTCGTTATGTGTAGACGTTCGTTGGCGATCTTTAGACGACGAGCTCTCTTACCCAAGCCCTAGAATGTTACAAAAATTATTTATGTACTATCAACTTAATAGTATTTTCTTAACTTACCAAGTTCGCCTCATCGAACTTAACCACAAACTGTCGGCTAAAGCCCAGAAGGACACCACCGATATCAGTTCTGAATCCGTATCCGGTCCTCGTGCTAGGTGGCTCGTCCCGCAGCAAACCAGCCACATAGATAACCGCCACTTTACCATCGTAGTGCATGACATCCGTCTGCAGGGAGTGGAAGTCGTGGGTGACCCGTGGCAGTTGCAACAAGATCTCCACGATATCAGTAGAGCCAAAGAACACGCCATCGCTTGCTTTGGAATAATCTTTGTTGCGAAGATTTCGTGCGTGCTTATTGTACTTTGATATACGCTGCAATATCTTGGGAGTCTGGTGATTCTGAACCACGCTGTAGTTGCATGTTAGGGTAAAGAGCGAGTCCTCGGAGTAATACTTGTACAGATTATGACGAAGCTCATCGTTTTCGAACTCCCGGAGATAGTGTTTAAGAAAGGCACCTACCAACTCGTAGGCACCAGTATCGCAAAGAAAGTTCTTCTGCACCGACTGGCCTGGATTCGTCTGTAGGTCCACGCCATCCAAGGTGGTCAACTGTGGAAACACCTCTTTCACGGCCCTGACATACTCGCTGGGAAGTCTGTAGTTGCGGCAGAGTTTATTTCCGTGAAGTACCAGAGACTTAAGAGGCAGGTTTCCAAGACTGTTGATACATGCCAGGTCTTGCACCCAGTTGTGGCTAAGATCTACCGCTCGCAGGCCCCCCATCATGCCAAGGACATGGGCTCCATCCAGAACAATAATCTTGTTGTGACACAAGCGGATCTCTGAACAGGTGGTCATGAACTTCCGCGATGCTACCGACAGTATGTAAGTCAAAATCTTTGGCGAGCTTAGCGAAACCACCACGTCCTTCAGACATTCCTTGGCGTGAAACCGTTCAAGGTTAAGCATTCGATTCTGTGTCACATAGCATTGCGAAACAGCCTTCTGTATACACTCCTCCGGATCAACATGATGCTGCTTGAAGGTGCTCACATTCATACGCAAGTAATAGCGAAAAATCCGATTACCGGTCGGAATAGTCATCTCTAGGTTGCAATTGTTTACCAAATGTGCAATTTGATCAAAGCAATTGCGCACGAGGAAAACGTGCTCCGTGTTAATATACTGCATCACAAAGAGTGTTATTGTTCGCAGAAATCTAATGGGAAACAAATTGGTAGACTTACCTTGTAATAGCAGGGATAAAATTTGCTCAGGGTAGGATCGAGCCTAATAAAGAAAAAGTCGAACAACACCTCCTGGTTGAATTCTTCAATTGGATCGGGTATCTATTAAAAATTATTAATATGTGTAAGTTGTCTTGTACGATAAGAATTATTGGAGGATAGTAAAAAGAATACTATACTTTTACACCATGGGACTCAAATATTTAGTTCCAAGGTAATTCCTAGGTAAACCCACCATAAAAGCATGCCAATGCTGGCTGTTCTCAAACTCCGGCAACTTCCACTTGTTATTTGCATCAAGCCGCGCTCCATCTACTTCCAAATCGATCTCCACATCCAGAGGCGAAACAGACTTGTGCAGCATGTTAAAAGGCTTTCCATTCTGTGGAGCAATTTAAAATCAGGAATTTGTCGACTTAATGGGAAGTCGACCTGTTCTGCACTCACCACCAACTTGAAGTTATTCTCCAGCGATCTAATGCTTGCGGGAAAGTTGGATATCTTTAAAATGGGGTTGTTCTCCAGGAGTAGTTCCCTGGCACGGAATTGTTCCAGCGCGCGGCACAAACGATCGGCTGACTTGATCTGGAGAAGAAAATTTATACCGGACCTTTTTAAGCCGGGAGGAGTCAACTTACCTTGTTGCCCCTTAAATCGAGCAACGCGTAGTCCATATTGGCGAGTAGTGTCAGAGGTCGTACATCCCGAATGCGGTTGTTAGACAATATAAACCCGTTTAAACGAAAGCGTTCAGTGTCGTTGTTGAGAATCACCTGGCACACGTTCATCAGGATGCACGGATTGCCCAGGCTTACCACTATGTTTTCGAACTCCGGATGACCCCCAAAATTGTCCAGATTAAGTAGTCCATCCACACCGTCCCTTTGAACCAATTGTTTCATAAGTCTGGTGACCACCCGAGCGATTTGGAACGTTGGAGATATCTGGTTCCTTTGGTACTGGGCCACGCCCAGTTGAATACTGATGGGTATGGAGGCGCCTCTTTCCAGATTGATGGACAGTCCCTGTTTGAAGAGATTATCAATAGCCGCCTTGCAGCTCCTGGCCAGCATGGTATCCGCGCTCTTTCCACGCTAAAAATCAGGAAAGAGCTATGTAGATTAAAATCCATGTGTCGAATGTTTAAGGAATGTGGAGGCCACCTGGTAGAACACCGGATAGAAGTCCGCCCCGTCTATCGCCTGGTATAAGGCATCCAGGATTATCTGCTCCGGATTTGGTGAGTATACCAGACGGCCCCTATGGTGCACCGTAATCTCGTTCCAATGGATACCCGGAACCCGATCGCCGTAGCTACTACAGTTGCTGAAGATCTGCGAATCCGGATAGTCCAGCTGGATGGGCATTGATCCATCGCCAAAGTCCAGCACCCTCATCTGGTTCGGCATTGCAAACGAGAAGAATTTACCACTTTTATTTCCAACCGTAAGCCTGCCAAATAAAGGATGCATATGACAGTGTTGAAAAAGGACGGAACAAATTTCCAAAACTTTATTGAAGATCCGTTTATTGATTTGAAAATACCGAAGACTGTATACTCTTTTTTCTCTATATCTGAAATTTATGTATTATAACATACATATATTGAGCAATTCATTTTAAAACAGATACATACTAAGAAAGTTATGAACGATAAATTTATATTCAGTATATCAAGATAAGAATCTGTTGGAGGAAATCTACGGAAGGGTAAGAAACACTAATAAATAGATCAGGATTTTTTTTCTGATATGTATATAGCCAGCTAATAATAACTAAAGTATTCTTTCGAAGGGTAGGAACTGCCTTAAAAATTTTCCGAGAACTCAGCCGCTCGCTACGAAATGTGTCACAGAACTGACTTTCTTAAGTGGCCATATGGTGTATCGACCATAATTTCTGCCTGCCTCGGCATTTTTCCCACTTAGCAATTGAAAAAAGATCCCACCATAATGACTCTAACATAACAATATTTAATCGGTTTCTTCGCTTAATATCTACAAGTCTTTAGAAAAGATGTGTTGAGATGAGATGGAATTATTTCTTGGATGTCTTCTTCTTGGCGCTAGTGGAAGTGCTGGCTTCTTTCTTTCCCTGGTAGAGGCCCGTATAATAGCCGGACATGTACCAGGCGGTGAGCATGGCCACAAAGTCCTGCTCGGCACCGTCGCCTTGTCCGACAATCATGGGCGGTACTGGTGGCATGGGCGGCATAACCAGTCCGCCAGAGATCCTGCCCCTTCCGGATGACTTGGGAGTTTTTGGATGACCACCGGCGGCAGCCGATGCCTTGGAGCGGCTCGGCTGCTCGTCCTCCTCCTGCTTGGAGACGAGGAACTGCTCGCGACGCACCCGCTTGCCCCACGACGGCAGGAGGTCCAGGAGCAAGACCTCCTGCTCGTTCTCATAGCCCAAATAGCGAATAACGCAGGTGCCTTTCTCCTCGTTAACAGACACCACGGCGCCCTCGTAGTCCAAGCCATCTACGTAGGTGGCCCTGGCGTAGTCGCCCACCTTGAAGGACACCGGTTCTGGGCTGGCGGCCCCACCAGCAGCCGAGTTCTCGGCAGCTTCTTCTTCGGCGGCTGCGTTCTCCTCCTCGCGCTTGTTGGTGGAATCTGCTAAGCGGCGGGCCAAAGCTTCGCGGGCCAATCCTACCGACTCGTCGTACGTCTTCACCAACAGGGAATCATCCCACACAGCGGTGTTCGCCTCATCGGACATATTGGCCAACAATCCTATCCAGGTGTCACGTTTTTAAACGAAGTTTCAAGCTCTGACTTTTTATGCGAATTCGCAGTGTGTTGGAAAGCGCGGGCTAATCACCCGCATTTCACAGCACTGGCCGCAACTATCGCTTAGAGGTGGACAACGAATTAGATAGAAGTGCTGAAATGTATGAAGACATTTTGGGCAATCCTTTATTTTGAAATACATTCTTATTCGAGCGAAAGAAATTAGTTCCTAAGTAGTTACAATTTTAAGAAAATCTCTTAATGCTAGATTTCTGCATTAACGACCTCATGGCCAGAAACTTTTTCACATTTGGTGTATTCTTTTGTTTTTAGTATAGTTAATTGAAGCTATTCTGATTTTTGTACTTTCGACTGTAAATACTTTATTATGAATTGTAGCTATCGGACACATAAAGAGCGCGATAATATCGATAGCTATCAGCATACATCCTTAACACAAAATAAACAAGCAAACCATTTGATCGTTCCGTGTTTAAAGCGAGCTCCATAACTTTATAATTCAATTTCAGAGGAATGGAGTCATTGGTGTGCCGAATTTGCCTCGGGCATTGTGAAAACGTCTTCAATATTTTTGAAGTTAAGCACGGCACTGAAGTCTCGATTGCTTCAATGATTTCCGAGTGCACTGGCCTAAAAGTGGAAAGAAGCGATCAGCTACCCGAAACAATTTGCACCTCCTGCTGCCAAGATGCACGAAATGCGTTCGAGTTTAGGAAAACCTACTACAGGAGCTACCAATTCTACTGTCAATTAATGGAGGACTCCCAGGTGCGCAAAGTATCGTATTCCGAGTATGGGGAATCGAACATCGACGGAAAAGCTCTTCAGCATAATGACCAACTTATAGTGAAGAACGAGCCACTAATTGAAGACGATTGTCCATTCTTAGACTGTGACAGCGATCAGTCCAATAGCCAAGTTTTCAAGATCGAGGTAATGGACAAAGACTATGTACAACATGGATCGGACAAAAGACGTGCCAATGATGGACAGCATCAATGCCCTCATTGTCCTAAGACTTTTTGGATAAATTCAGCACTTAAGCAGCACTTGCGAACTCACACAGAAGATCGACCATTCCAGTGCTCCCACTGCGCAAAGACTTTTAAAAGTGCATCACATCTTTCAGGACATTTTTCAATACACACAGAAAACCGTCCGTTGTTTCAGTGCCCCCTTTGCTCTTCGAATTTTACACTGTCTGCCAATCTTAAAAGGCATATGATAATCCACACAGGCGAGCGCCCTTTCAAGTGCTCCCAATGTCCAAAGGCTTTTACCCAAAATGCGCATCTTCGAGTTCACTTAATGAGCCACACAGGAGAGCGACCGTTCCCATGCACTAAGTGCTCTAAAAGTTATTTCACCAATACGCAGCTGCGCAACCACATAAAAATCCACAAAGAATGATAGCTCCAATGGCTTTTTAAATGTTTTGTTTCCTGACTTGAAACTTTCAACTGTACCTACTGTAACTTCAGAAACGATCACTAAACTAAAGTATTCTTTAAAAATAATGTTAAGTCTATTGAATAACCGATCCGAGCTTAAATGCCATTCAGACTTAAAAGCCTTTAGATAGTTCCTTAAAGTGCATTGTGTAACTATAAAATATTAGCTAAATGAGTCTCAAAAGTTAATATTTGTACATAAAAGATAAATTAAAATTATCCAGCCCTACGATATTTTAAAAATCGATAAGGATTCGATTGCTCCCATCGCGATAACGACCCGACTACGATTGCCATCCCTAACAAAAAGCGAAAATCATCTTTGAGGTCTGCAGAAAACATTTTAGCTTAATAATACCGATCTAAAGAATGGCCAACGTGGAAGCGCTGTACAAGGAACTGATCGCCGAGTGGGCGAAGCGGCCACCAAACACGGTTAAATGCGGACAGCTGCTTGATCAACTGAAAGTGGCGCTCGTAAAGATGGCCTTCCTGCCGACGGACGGAAACGACGCCCAGAGCTCCAAGAAGCAACTGATCCTAGCCAGGAGCGTGCTAGAGGTGGCCGTTGAGCACAGCGTGCTCAGCAAGGACCTGCTCGCCTTTGAGCGCTACATGGCGCAGCTGAAGTGCTACTACTATGACTACGCCAAGATCATTGGCGAATCGGAGAGCAAGTATAAGCTGCTCGGGCTGAATCTGCTCTACCTCTTGTCCGGCAATCGGGTCTCCGACTTCCACACGGAACTGGAGCTGCTCTCCGTGGACGTCATCCAGCACAATCAGTTCATTCGGCCCATCCTGGCCCTCGAGCAGTACATCATGGAGGGACGCTACAACAAGATCTTCCAGGCCAAGTCGACGGTACCCGTCGAGGTGTATAGCTATTTTATGGATCTTCTGCTGGAAACGGTGCGCGATGAGATAGGTGCCTGCATCGAGAAGTCCTACGACAAGATCTCTGCCAAGGATGCCGCCAAGCGGCTCAACCTGCGCGTCCCCGACGAGATCAAGGCCTTCGGCGAAAAACGCCAATGGAAACTAGAGGCTACCGGCGACTACAGCTTCACGGACCGCAGCGTCAAGCCCAAGGAGCTCCTGCCCTCCGAGGAGCTGGCCGAGCAGGTGCTCAGCTACGCCCGCGACCTGGAGATGATAGTTTAAGTCCAAAGCAGCCTTTAATAATCAACAGAGTAAGGATAAGTAAACAGTTCTAACACGCTGGATACCACAATTTTTATAATAATATGTAACTATATTGAAAACAAAAATAAATTAAAGCTAAATCTCCTAAGCCAGTAGTATTCTATTTTTGCAAGCCTAGCTACAGTTGGAAATTAACGTTTTACGTTTTATATTGTAAAACTACAACTAACTATTTTATACATGTTTCTGTGTAAGTGTAACTGCCAAAAAGCATTTGATAAATTTGTTCACTTGCCAAATTATTTTTCCCACATCCAGATCACGATATTTCGAAAATCTCGTGACTATAAGTCACAGCTGTTACTCAGTGTGACCGTTCTTGAGAGCATTGAAATAGAGCTTAGTTGAAACCTGTGCGACGGCCACACTAGCGCGAACGACCGTAAAAATTTTCGCTCTGCGATTATTTGTAAAGAATTGCTTAAAAAGCAAATAGAAGAAATTTTAGCATAATCCACGCCATGGCCTGTAACGCTAGCAAGACATCGCTCCTGCGCGCCATCGCCGTAAGTCTCGACTTAACCAACAAATAGTTACGGCAGCGAATCTTCCTAACGGAAGGCTCGTGTTACGTAAAACACCCGAAGTTGCCATCTAAACAATGTCGAATGTAACAAGAATTATAACAATTCCGTACTGTTTTCCGGCAGAAACGAGGCTACGCCACCTGCCCGCGCCCCGTCGGTGACCTGTCCGCCGTGAACGTCAAGGTGCTGGAGAACAAACTAGTGGTGGCCACCGCCGATGCCACTCTTCCAGTTTCGCGCGTGTCTTTGGTGCTGGGGTGAGTCCACGGGGCAGTAACCAACACCTTGGAGTATCCTAATCTCGATCAATTGCAGAGCCGGATCCCGAAACGAGGCCTACGACACCCAGGGAGCCTCGCACCTGCTCCGTTTGGCCGGAGGGCTGAGCACCCAGAACTCGACCGCCTTCGCCATCGCCCGTAACATCCAACAGGTGGGCGGTACCCTGACCACATGGGGTGATCGCGAAGTCGTTGGCTATACGGTGACCACCACAGCAGACAACGCCGAGACCGGACTGCGCTACCTGCAGGATCTGCTGCAGCCAGCCTTCAAGCCCTGGGAGTTGGTCGACAATGCCAAAACGGTTGTCAACCAGCTGAACGCCGTCTCCACGGAGGTAAGCCCACAGTAAATTCTTAATTGGATCATGCAATCATTGGATCTAGCAAAGTCCTATCTACTAGAAAAAAACACATCCCAATAACTCTGAATAACTCTTTATCCTTCACAGCAACGCGCCATTGAGCTTGTTCACAAGGCTGCCTTCCGCAACGGCCTGGGAAACTCGATCTACTTGCCCCGCTTCCAGCTGGGCAAGCTGTCCTCCGAGAGCCTACTGCACTACGTGGCCCAGACCTTCGCCGCCGGCCGTGCCGCTGTTGTAGGCGTGGGAATCGACAACAACACCTTGGCCGGCTTCGCACAGACCTTGCAGTTCCCCAGCGGCGGCGGCAAGGCTGCCTCCGCCAACTGGTATGGTGGAGATGCCCGCAAGGACACATCTGGCCACCGTGCGGTCGTCGCCGTTGCTGGACAGGGCGGTGCCGCATCGAACCACAAGGAAGCGCTGGCCTTCGCCATCCTGGAGCAGACGCTCGGCGCCAAGGCCGCCACCAAGCGCGGCACTTCCGCTGGACTTTATGGCGAGGCTGTCAACTGCGCCGGCGGCGTCGGAGCCACTGTCAAGGCTGTGAACGCCAGCTACTCGGACGCCGGACTGTTCGGTTTCGTGGTCTCCGCCGATTCGAATGACATTGGCAAGACCGTGGAGTTCCTGGTGCGCGGCCTGAAGTCCGCTTCGGTGTCAGAGAAGGATGTTGCCCGAGGCAAGGCTCTGCTGAAGGCGCGCATCGTCTCTCGGTACTCGTCGGACGGTGGTCTGATTAAGGAGATCGGTCGCCAGGCGGCGCTCACCCGGAATGTGCTGGAGGCGGACGCCCTGCTCAGCGCCATCGATGGCATCTCGCAGTCGCAGGTCCAGGAGGCAGCTAAGAAGGTGGGCAGCTCCAAGCTGGCAGTCGGCGCTATCGGCAACCTGGCGAACGTGCCCTACGCCTCCGATTTGGCTTAAGTATATAAACACCTGTACATCTGTTAACCGTAATGTAACGACTAAATAAACCTGATCAAGGGGAACGATCCGCGAACGTAAATACTTATAAATCCTAATTTAATTGGTGTATACATAAATAATCAAACTTTGGGTTAAAGACAGATAGACATTCCACGCATGTCATAATATAAGCCAATAAAACAACTGGAATGGTTCGTAGGAACTAAACGAAGATCACGACGATGATGGCGACGAACAAGGCTATAATGACGAGCCAATAGCCCCAAGTACTGTCTCGCCGGTTGACCTGTCCAATGCTCTGTGTTTCCCGCTGCACACCCGTTTCCACGCGATCCATGGCATTAGCCAAGTTGTCAAGGATATCTGCAAGGAGGAAGGGATTAGCACTGGCAGCGCAGGGATTAGGGCACACCCACTGTTCTGGTCGTCCACCTCGTTACCCAGCTGAGTGGCCAGCTGGCGCTGTCTGGACAATGTGGCTGATAGAACCTCGAGTCCTTCATTTTGCTGCGCCAGCATCTCGATCTTTCTCTGCTTCAGGGCCTCCACGTCCAAGGCGGTGTTCCGTGAGGAATTGCTTTGACCCGACACGAGATCCTGGTCCTGCCAAGCAGAACCTGATGCGGCCAGGACATTGGATTGGGCGCTGTTTGCGAACTTCTGGCGGATCTCTCGCAACTGCGAGGTGAGTCTGTCCCAGTCAATGCGCCGCTGCTGCAGCTCCTCCTCAGGGCTCGTCTCCCAGGTGATGGCGTTATCCAGCACCACCTTGAGGTGCTTCAGGTCCTTGTCCAGCTGCTCTATTCCGGTCTGTATGCTGCTTGTCAGTTGGACGTACGAGGTTGTCCTTTGATTACACTGCTGACGTTGGTTGAGATACACCAGTAGCTGATGGCGCAGTCGCTCGCAGCCCTCGTACTCGATGTCCCAGGAATCGTGATCCACCAGTGCCATTTTTCTGGGTATGCTATGAGTAATTATCAAAAACAGAAAACTACGCCTCCAGGAACACACACAACAAAAACAATAGCAGAGCAACAGCTGATAGCTGCTAGCAAATAAGTAAGCGCGAGTACGGTCACACTTCTAGTAAGGAGGGAACAATTAAATTAAAAAAACCTTTAAGCTGCACAATTCAACCCAAACTAATTTTGAAAGAATACTTCAGTAAGAGCTTTAGATATTTTAAAGAAATGTCCAATTAATTTATTAATATATATTGCGAACTAGTGTGAACTATGTACAGCCGGAATTTAATAATTCAGGCTGGTCACTCGAAAATAGTCAATATAATGTGAAGTATGATTATTTGGCCCTTAATTCCTGAAACTACTCTCAAAAATTAGGAAATGCTTTCCAAATTGCTTCCAATTGTAATTCTGCATGGTGGCCGAAGAACGTATTCCTTGTGCTCGAGAATCTACTCCATGCCCACACGTAATTACACCCTAACTGGCCACATTTTGAAGGTTCCGAACCTACATTCGCAGGAAAGATGTTATGGCACACATATTGTTATCCGGCATACGAAGGACCGATTCTACACCGACATTAATGAGATCCGAGCAGAATTGCTATACACCATCAAGGACGGGGTGATGATCATCAGGAGCACCAACGTCCCGGAGGAATTGGGCGGTCACGGCATTGGGAAGCTACTGGCCAAGGCGGCACTGGACTACGCGCTACTGAACGGGCAATTCATTGTGATCAAGTGCCGGTTTGTCCAGTACTACATCGACAAATATGAGCCACAATACGCCAAGTACATACTGAATTAGGGAAACCAACCCAACGATACGAAATTGTCAGAACTAGCTAACTAAAAACAAATAAATCCCCTTAACAGCACATATAATATACTATATAATATATGTCTGCTTTCAGATTGGTGAACTTCGTGCTGCCTTTGTAAATTCACATGAAAACTATTTTTAATTGGTTTGCTCCATAAATTTTCAGATTATTTAAAAATTACCAAATCAAAAGGGAACTTTATATTTAATGTCGAAACAATATAATTAGTAATGGAAGGTTTCTTTACTTAAGCTATAAGTTTTGTATGCTCCTATTTTTATTTATCGAACTTAAGCATGTTGTTTCCGAACTTAAAAATATATCAGCTAGTTTTCTCAATATATTATTAAGTTGAATTTTCTTTTGTTCAAAAACGGTTACAATTTTTAAATATTGATGCTCTAAAAATATTAGGCATAAGATAGGTAATATTCATTATTATACTATGGTTCAAGCGCTCTATTTTTTAAGGGGAACGATACAAAATTAAAAAATTAATTAAAATTTACAAATAAAGCAGTGTGACCAGCAGTGTGATTCAGCAAAGGGCCTTGCCGGACTGCTGCCACCCACACACATACGATAGTTGGGACCGGCCCGGCATGGTGAACAAAGTCACGATACCGATATGGTGACACAATTCACCCACACATGCATGCATTCGGTTACGATAGTTATGACTCAAAGTGCGAAAATATCACTGGGTTAGAATGAGCGATATATATATTATATTTTGGAAACCGGCTGCAGTAATCCGTAAAAAGAGTTAGAAATTTGTATACTAGACTCATATTATTTAGCACTAGCAGTATAAAGTCTACTCTTTACTTGAAAACCCGAGAAATAATATTAGCAAAACTGTTACTGCTCGTGACATGCCGCCAAAGCTGTGACTTGTCACGGTGAAATAATCGCGACTAGTAACAGGTATGCAACTATCGCGCATCCCTAACTCACACGTACACACAATTTATTTAGTCGTGATTTCTATTTTATTTGTTTCAAATTACAACCAAAAAGAAAACACATTGCGACCAAAAATCGCTGGCCACAATGCCGAGTGCCTGTTCAACTGTGCGCAAGCATTCCCTTTAATCGGAAGCGAGCGCGTTTGCCGTTTTCAGCGTTTTCCGCGCGGGAGTGGGAGATCGGAAAATCCGCAGCAGGACAAGCCATCGGTCCGGAGCAACATAGGGATATTTAGGATAAAGTAACGTAGTTCCGCACACAATCGGGGGGCCAGCATGGAGCGGCGCGTGAAGTTGAAGACGATCAATCCGCACATCACGTGCAAGATCTGCGGGGGCTACTTCATCGATGCCACCACGGTGACGGAGTGTCTGCACACATGTGAGTTGCTTCGGCATGGAACATCACCTGCCCAATAACGCCAGTGTTACCGCCCTTACAGTTTGCAAGAGTTGTCTGGTAAAGCACCTGGAGGAGAAGAAGACCTGCCCCACCTGCGACAACATTATTCACCAGTCCCATCCCCTGCAATACATCAGCTTCGATCGCACCATGCAGGACATTGTGTACAAACTGGTGCCGAAACTGCAAGAAGGTTGGCTGAAGCGTGTGTTTTTGTTTCTTTACACTCTTACCTCCAACACGAACCATTCCAGATGAATCGCGCCGGGAGCGGGACTTCTACAAGAGCAGGAACATGCCGTGCCCCAAGGACATCACGCAGAACCACGACGACGACAACGAGAAGGTGATGGACGCCCACGCCGAGTCCGACTTCCATCGCCTGGACGAGCAGGTGAACGTGTGCCTGGAGTGCATTAGCAATAACTTCAAGAACCTGCAGAGGCGCTTCATTCGCTGTAGCTCGCAGGCGACGATAACGCACCTCAAAAAGCTGGTGGCCAAGAAGATCCTCAACGGCATTGAAAAGTACAGAGAGGTGAGATATTTGCCTATCGCGACAATAACTTCTCAAGTGAAAGCTAAGCCCGTCAGGGTTTATTTACTTGTACGCACATACTATGTACTAACCACACATCTTACCTTTCAGATCGACATCCTGTGCAACGAGGAGCTGCTCGGCAAGGATCACACGCTGAAGTTCGTCTACGTGACGCGCTGGCGCTTCCGGGATCCGCCGCTTCGGCTGCAGTTTCGTCCACGGGTCGAGCTCTAACCACTGTTTTAGTATAATGCCACAACAAATGATCTATTTTTATAATTTATTGACAAAGCGTAAATATCGTAATTAGGAGAGTCGCTAGTGTTAGTCCCCCGAAACCATGAGTGTATGTGTAAATGTGCATGTATAAAGTCGTAAGTATATGGTTATCCCTCTTAGGATTAAGTAACTTCCTCTTCCTAACTCGTGTGCCCCTTTTGTTGCCGCTGTCTTTGCTGCATTTGCTCATGATTTAATCAACGTTCTCCGTTTGCAATATTTTATGTTCTCCTCCTTTAATATATATATGTATTTATTATTTTAATGTACAAAACACACGAATGTAAATAAATTTGTAATTATGCCGAATGGCGTTTGTTTAATATGGGGGGCGCCACGCGTTTCTGTATCCAAACCGCGGAGCTCCCAAGAATGGCGGTCGCTGGCGAAATCTGTAGGGGGCAGGTGGAAACGGAGGAGGATGTGGTAGCCGTTGGTATCCAAATCTTTGCTCCATGCCAGACATCCCCTGCAAAGTGGGATTAGATTATATTCATTAAATATTTATTATATTTATAATAAAACTACTAACGTAGAAATCCTGAGGTGGCACTTGCAAATAGTAGTTGATGATCTTTGGCGGTGGATTATACCGACGAGGACTCCTTTGACGGCGTCTCCGTTCACTGCTGCGACTTCGGCTGCGGTTGCGGCTCCTAGAGCGATGGCGATGCCTTCTGTCGGAAGACTGGGATCTAGAGCGACTGCGTCTAGTGGATCTGGGCGATCTTTGGCGCAGCCTCCTCACCCGATCCTGTTCCCGAACCTCATCAGCAAAATAAGGAACCTTGTGCTCCTTCTTTTTGCTGTCCCTGTTGCTCGTTCGCCCATGCTGTTCTCTTTCTCGCCGGGATCGCGACCTTGAGCCATGGGAATCTATGTGAAAAGAGAGGGATTAGTCACTCCATCCAAGCCATCGTGTTAGGCGCATCTTCGGAGGCGGAATCCACAAAATGCGCAGTTAAGAGTCCCATTGTCCAAGCTTCTCTGTCTGCTCGTCCAGTGTTCATTTTCATCCATTTCACATTTTACACAATATGCCACTAGAAAAAAAACAACAAAAAGATTGCACTTGATCAGATTCTGATCAGATCGGATATACTATATAGTGGGTACCTCGATGATCGGCTCCACAACTACTGTCGGCGTCCATTTTCATCGGAAAATGCTGGAAATGAAATAATGCACTTTCCTCAGTGTGCCCGTATTCCGCTTGCACAAAGTGTGCCCGCTCACTCCCTTTTAGATTAACTATCGCAGCCAAAAACGTTACTTTTTAAATATTTGAGAGCAACATATAATAATGTAAATATTGGAAATAAATAATATACTTTTTTAGGTTTTATTCAAGCAAGATGAAGTTTTTAAGAACAAGTGAGTATTTTTACTTTAGAGATTTACGTTTTCGTTACAAATACTCTACAAACACAGCTTCATTTCATAAGTACAAGAGAATACAATGCGATTTTTGTTTAAACTATAAAAACCCAAACATAGGGTAAACGCAATTAGTAGGCACAAATAAACAAATTTTAAAACTTAAAACTAAGCGGCACATTGATGCGCTCGTTCTCCATGGAGACCACGATGAGCGGCTCCTTTTCGAGCAAATCCCGCCTAGGGGAGCGCAGCAGGCGCACATCGATCTCCGCCTGGCCACCATCTGGAGAAACGTAGCACTCACTGGGACTGATTCGCACCATATCCGGGACACTGCAGGTGACCTCGATGAGCTGCCTGGAGCAGAAGCTGTTAGTTACGGACAAAGTGGCCAGTGGTGATCCGCCGGCTTCAAATTCCAGCGAAGCGGGCTGCACAGACCAATTCCGCTCGATGGGCATCAAAGTGGTGGTGTCCGCCTCCAATAGCTCATCCACGGGCTCCAATAAGTGGCTCTGCGTTGGCGTCGGCGAATTGGACACACATATTGTTCGGAATAACACGGTTTCCTCGGCCTCCGGCAGGAACATTAGCGAGCTCTCAGACGATTCGTCAAAATCCCGATTGAGGGTAAGGGCAACATCAATAATCCGCACTACGGTGACCAAGTCCAGAATGAACTCGGGCGGTTCGTTGAGCTGACCGATGTTCCGCACTGGCTGCTCATCCGGAAATTGGCCCCAAATGCTGTCCAGCATCGGCGATGTGAGCTTCTCCCGCTGTCGGCTGCTCATTCTCTGGACCAAGCTGCGCATACGCTGTCTGTTGGGCTCGTCTCCGCAGAAAATCCGCATATTGGCCAGGGTCAGCACCGGCGCGGTCTTCTTAAGTATGTTCTTCAAGTCCTCGCGATTCGGTCGGAAAAGTATCTGAACGCAGCATTCGCTATTTGGCGGCAATATCAGGCGGCTAGGACGCACCTCAAAGGCCTCGCTCAGGCGCAGTTTCATGAGCACTGTGGAGTCCACTGAAATGCCCACAAATGCGGTCAGGGGGCCCTTGTTGTGAAACTTAAGACTCGCAGAAAGAGGACCAGCGGATAGCTCGCATACATCGCCAATGGTAAGGAAACTGGCGCCCACAGGTCCTTTTAGTAGACCCTGTATGGTGATCGACGCACTGCCGCCGTAGCCGTACAGCGGGATCTCCAGGCCCGGCTGGTTGCTGTTATGCGCTCCTGACGGTGCATAAAAAGACAAGGCTCCGATGGCCGCTCCACAGACAGTGGGACAGAAATTAATCACCACCGACCGACATTCCATGGCTTGCAGTGTGATGGTGCTGCTACCGGCGCCAACCAGCTGGAAACCGGGTCCCTGGATGCCAATCCGAATGACAAGGCGTTTGTCCGCTGTGTTTTTCACCTGCATTGACTTACGCACATCTGTCCGCAGCTTTGTGCTGCCCCAACAGAGGGTCGTGTGGGTCACCTTTAAGGGGAGCAGCTTCCCATCGCGATGACTGAACTCACTGGAGTTCGAGCAGCGCGAAATACTACGCGGTGCTGTAATAGAGCTGGAACCCAGTCCACGTCTTCCGCTTGCTGCGAATCCGCTGGTGGAACTGGCCTCACTTCCCGCGGGCGAGGAGTTCGCCTTGCGTGCTACTCCACTCATGAGCTGCCTGCGGTCGGAACTAGTTGTGCTGTCCAGCAGCGGCGACGAGAGACAGCTTCTCGGCGAGGACAAGGGCGATAGGTTTTTGGCGAGGTTCGGTGAAATGCCAAAATCACGTTCGGTGGAAGAGGCAACAGCAACGTCGCATCCATCCAGGCGAGTGCTGCTTAGAGATGAGGGTTTGCGCGGAATCATACCCACTGTGGAGATCGATACTCTCTTTTTGTTCACTGGCGTCTTGTCCTCGTCCTCGTTTTCATCCTCGGTGCAGGTTAGTGGACGTATGCCATCGCTACTGGACGGACTTGCAGATCTTGGCGAAATCTTAGTGCGTCTCACTCTGCGGTTGGGCTCCTTCACCGGCGTCGAGGGCCACTCATCGATGTCAGCCTCGGCTTCCGTCTCTACGGGATCGGTGTCCGCACGGCTAATGGTAATTTGCGGCTGGTCCGCCAGTGGACTAAGCGGCTTGCGCGAGATGCTATGCTGCAAATGGCGAAAATCCGTCGAGTTCAGCACGGAGTCTGTGAAACTCATAGTGTCCGTAAGCTTGTTAGAGCCGCACAAAGTTCGCTCCGCTTGGGAGTTGCTGCTCTGGTTTTCCTTGTTTTCCCCATCTTCATAATTGGTGCCGCGACCATGCTCCCACAAGTGGTTGAGAACCTCTACAGTGGACGTATCCGAGTTCAGATCTATTTCCCTAAGCGCCTTGTCGATTGCCGAGAGACTTAGGATCTCGGAGCTCGATGGCGGACGCTTGGTCTCTTTCGACGCCAGACCATTGTTGCCCTTCAGCGCCGTCTGAATCCGATCCTGCTGCATCTTTTGCATGAGGTTGCGTCCGAGATTTGAGCCAGTCATGGCATCCGCCTTGGTGTAGGTTTTATTGTCTGGCTGCGGGGTCTTTTCACCAACTGAATTTAGGGTCACGTTACTTTCTGGTACCAATAGCGGTTGAGTGGGTCGGGAGCGATTCGGGCTGCCGTTGCTCACAATGTTCCATATATTTTCCGATCGCGTCTGGAAGTAGTTGCCCAGCGAGAAGTCTGGATCTCCAGCCAAGACAGAACTGTGAACAGAAAGTTTGTATAATTAAATTCAAAATTATATTTTCTTGCATACTTGGACACCGAGGTTTCTATTTCGGATGTTGGCGGCGGTGCGGCGATCTTCTGCATCGCCTGTGTGCTCAACGTGGCCGTCGGCATGGCTGTGAACTCTTGCGCCCAGGAGATTTCACCCAGCACCAATTTGGACTGCATTAGCTCGGCGGGGGCAAAACTTTCATCCTGGCCTTCTGCCGCCAACGAGGCTGAGCCAAAGGAGAATCCCCCACCGCCGTTAAGACTCAGATCACTCATGTCCGCAGTGCGCGGTAAGCTGCGTGAGCAGTTAAACGAATCTGTGAGGCTGCTGGAGTGGGCTCGTGATAAGCGATAGCTGGCCTCCACCTGGCTGGCATCGTGCAGCTTCTTCTCCAACAGGCGAGCCTTCTCAACGAAGGAGGACTTTAGGATTTCGGCCACAGACAGGGATGGCTTCTCCCTGCGGCGCTGTTTTCCAGCCTGGCAGAGTGTGGATCTGCCAGTGATCTCCGCAGGCTCAAAAGAGATGTTGGTGCCCTTGGTGGCGGGCGTGACCAAAGCAAAGGAACCGCTGCTGTTTAGATCAATGGTGTCGTCTGTCACCAACTCCGATATGTTTGTGGTGGAGCGCATCTGGAGGGCAGTGCTCCTTGCTTGGCTGGGACGCGATGGCCGAGGCTTTTCCAGTGTCTCCAGCGCACGTAGTCGCTCTTCTCGAAGCCGCTCGTGGACGGCAGAGGAGTCCCGACCAGGGCCGCTGCTCCTTCCACTTTTGCTGAAGCTGGACAAGTCGCCAAAGACTGCAAGGAACCTGGATTACTGGCTGCTACTGTAGATTTCCGGCTTGCCCCGCCTGCTTACCCTTTAGATTATCCATGTTCAGAATGCCCAGCGAGTTCTGGTCCATGTAGCTGCCATTTCCCTGGCTTCCATTGCTTCTGTCCATTTCGCTCCGTCCCTTTACAGTTAGTGCGAACGCGTAAACAAGAAAAGGCGCGTCATTTCGTTTGAAAATGGACGTCGATAAATGATAACAGATCCAGGGCTACACACAAGTGTCTAGGCGGCCTTTGTGAACTTGTCCGCACAAATGTGGGAAATTCAAATATTTTACGTGTTCTACTTTATAACACTTTGGGAAGCGCACAGATCAACACACTCAACAAAAAAACAAAAAAAACATATTCGAAAGGAAAATACCATTTCGTTAAAAACTCGTAAAACCGCTATAATAACCGCCAATTTCAAACGAAAGTGTAAAATAAGCTGGCGATAAACTGTAAACTGTAAGAACAAGAGCAAAACGTGCAACGCCAACGTGCCTCCAGCCCTGGTCGTATTTTTGCGAATTCTCCCTCGCTTCACACTTTTCGATTCCGCTCTTGCGAATTCAGCGGCTGTAATTTGCACCGGATTGTATTGGATATCCGCCTGGGCACAGACAGTAACTCCCCAAAAATGGAGGCAGCTATTTTGGACATAATCAGCGGGATCCTGGGCATGGACACGGAACGGATTCGTCAGGTGAGCAGAGCTGGTAAAACGGCCATCCGGCGATTGAAGGGAGGTTATCCTGGGAGCCCTTGGCTGTCTTCCATTTATCCATTCCGTTCTGGCCGCTCCGTTTCGGTTTGACCGCGTGGCTGGATCGACATTCCCTATATACATGTGTACATGTATGTACGCTACATGAACACAGTAGTTTTAAATCCAGCATGTGCACATTCCTATATGTGCGAATGTTTATAAAGCACAGTGGGTCGCATCTTATTAGTACTCGACGAAAAGAACTAACAGTTTCCATTTATTTAAGATAAGCATAGTAAATTGTTTAGAATTCTGTAGATACATATATTCATATAATTATTATTAATAACATTTTAGTATTTGTATTCAACTCGTTAATACTCCATTAAAATCATTAATTCTGCTTCAAAAATGTGTGGGCTCTTGTGGGCTCACATGGACGCACAATCATCGCTTCCTAATTGGAAAATTATTTATGTTGATAGTATCCTACCACACGGTCATACAAATTACTAATTAAGTTCCTTTTCTTTCGCTCTCGTAGTCAACAGCCAAGATGATGAAGGCCTACGAGAATCCCGATTCACTGCTGGTTCTCACCCAGATCGTGATGTCGGACCGGGCGGTCCAGGAGCGGCATGTCGCCGCCGTGCTCCTCAAGAGGCGGATCAGCAAGTTGCGCCACTGGCAGTTGGTTCCCGCCGAGCATCAGTCAGCGTGAGTTGAATGGGTACATTTTAATGACCATGATACACTAAAGGATTTATGTATTTTTACCGATTAGAATTAAAACGAACATGCTTCAGGTCCTCATCGCGGTGAAGGAAAAGACCGTGAAGGGCACGGTAGCCCAGATAATTGGATCGCTGGTGCGACACGAGGCGGAGAAGGAACACTCCTGGTTGGAGGAAATACTGAAGTTCATTTACGAACGTTGCAGCAGTCCCGATCCAACAGAAAGCGAGCGGGGCAGCTCAATCTTTACCACACTCATGGACGCTGCTCCCGATCAGTTTTCGAACCACATGGATACTATCTTCCCGTTGTTCGCCGGCGTTCTGGTAACCGCCGAGGCGAACGGTAACATGGCCACACCCACCGTGTTTAACGTGCTGACGGGTACGTGCTACCTCCTGCCCTTCGTCAGTGGACATAGTGGTGCTGAGCAGATTGTTGTTAAGGCTGTGCCGCTAATTCTCAAGGCCCTAGGCGCCTTCGCCGAAAAGGGGGACAGTCAGGAGTTCATGGGAGCTTTTAATATCATAGACGCCATGGGCGAGTATGTGCCCCATTTGCTGACCGGTAATGTGAAGCTGATTCTGGAGTTCTGTCTGATAATTGCGAGCAACCAGCAGCTCGAGGATTCGATTCGAGTTCAGGTGATTACCTTTGTTGGCAGCCTAATGCGCCTTAAGAAGAAGGTTATTATGAAGCAGAAACTGCTGGAACCCACTCTTGCGGTTATGTTCGAAGTGATGTGCCAGGACTCCCTTGATGATGGTTGTAACTGCTCCTTTCTATTTCCGTTCCCATGTTTGCTAATCTTATTCCTATTCTAGACGATGATTACTTTTCGTCTGAGAGCTCGAATAGCCCGTCCACTGCAGCTACGCAGACTCTGGACTTGATGGCCCTCCACATGTCGCCGGAGAAGTTTATTCCGCCACTACTGCAGCTGTTGGAGCCAGCGTTGCAGAGCCCACAACCTGTGCTTCGCCGCTCCTCTTTTATTTGTATGGGCGTCATTGCCGAGGGCTGCTCCGAGGCCATTGGGAACAAGTATCTGGAGGTCATGCTGAATATCGTCAAAGCTGGAATTTTCGACTCTGTTATGTTGGTGCGGGTCGCCGCATTCTTCGCCCTTGGACAGTTTTCCGAGTATCTTCAGCCGACAATCTGCAAGTATGCTCCCCAGATTCTTCCCGTGCTGTTCGACTATCTGAGCCAGCTGGTAATGGAACTCAAGGTAGGTAATCATTGCGGCCATCTTTGAGCAACTTGGAATCTGTGTATTTTACATTCTTGTTTATTTGTTTGTTTGTGCTGCTTCTAAAGGCTGGCCATAACAGCAACGTTCCTGCCAAAGATTCCATAATGTACTTAGACAAGATACAGATCAAGCGCAGATCGGTCCTCGCCAAATATAGGGTGCCTTTTCGTTTCTTACTTTTTTCTTTGTACTTAATTGCACATCAAACACCTCAAATTGTGGAATAGTTTGCCAAGTTTGATTACATCAACAGCTATATCTAGAACAGGATATATCATCATTTGTTTATTAGCATATGTTAAATGTTTATTAATGGTTATTTGTCACATAAAGGAGTCTTTTAAAATTGGTCAGGATATCACCGATCCAAAAAGGGGGTTATTTCTAAAGAAACAAATCGAGTGTTTTGTGGACTGCATTTCCTGCTGCACAAAAACCCAACACATATGTGGCAAAAACACACTAAATGTATTTTCTTGCAGATTGGTACGCCGGAACCGAAACACATGGATCGTATGTTCTATGCCTTGGAGACCTTTTGCGAGAATCTGGGGGATGACATTATTCCCCATTTACCTACGCTGATGGAGCGGTAAGACTAGCCTATAAGTGAATAAGAGTTCACAGTCTGATAATCTTATTGTGTAGTCTGTTTGGGGTTCTGGAACCCCAGAACTCGCATCGAATGCGTGAAATGGGTTTGACGGCCATAGCAGCGGTCTCAACCGCAGCTAAAGAACACCTGGTGCCCTATTTCCCTAGGATCATGAGTGTACTACAGGGCTGTCTGGTGAAGGAGTGCCCAAAAGAAATGCAAAGTCTGCGCATCCAAGCTATCGACACTCTGGCCGCGCTCTGTCGCGAAGTGGGCAGGGATAATATTATTCCGCTTGCCGACGATACAATGAACTTCTGTCTGATGATGTTGGAAGATGGTCCGGACGATCCCGAAGTCCGCAGGAGCATATACAACCTGATGTCCTCCCTGTCATCAGTTGTCAAAGAGAGCATGGCCACTGTGTTCCCCAAGTTCATTGATCGCATAATGGAGTCTGTGATTTCTTCGGAGGACGTGTTGCCAAATGTGTCAGAGAATCCAGAGGATGATTTGATCCTGGATACAACCGATGTAGAGATTGATTTAGATCAAACAGATGACGAAGATGACCAAGACTGCTACCAGGTGGAGAACGATTACGTTTTTGAGAAGGAGGAGGCTATTCTGGCACTTAGGGAGTTCGCTGCACATACGGGCGCCGCCTTCGCGCCCTACTTGCAGTCTGCATTCGAGAACGTCTACAAGATGATTGATCATCCGCAGGGCGACGTCCGTAAGGCGTGCATTGACGCCATTTGCGGGTTCATTACGGCTCTCCATAAGTTGGAAGATGCCGCCGGCTTGAAGCGCGCCTGCGAGATTGCCATTCCAAAGTTTGCACATATGTTGCGCACTGACGACGAGGTTGGGGTCGTACTCCATCTGCTTGACGAACTCGGCGATGTCTTCAAGGATGTCCAGTTGCAGGCAATAAACAACCAGGAGCATGCCGAACTAATTTTCGGGTGCATCCGCGACGTCTTCACAAATAAAATGGCCTGTCAGTTTAACGAGGAGAGCGGTGGTGGAGATGAGGAGGATTCGGAGGAAAGCGAGAACGACGAAATGCTGTTCGAGAACGCTGCCAATCTGTTCCCTTTGTTTGGCTTAGCCCTTCAGCCGGAGTTGTTCTCGCTTTATTTCGGTCGTCTTTACCAATTTTATGTTCAAAGGCTGGTAGGTTTTAAACGAAATAACAAAGATGTGGCGGCATACTGGAATTCGATTATTTCCTTTCAGGCCAAGGCAAAGGAGCGCGATATCCCAGAACATCGGGCTTACATCTATGGCGCTTTGGCTGACTCCTTCAAGGCGCTGAAGGGATGCTCTGCAACATACTTCGACGCCCTGTGCCCCATTTTTATCACTGGCTCCAAGGATTCTGATGCCAAATCGCGACAGAACTCCTATTATGCACTAGGCGAACTGGTCATCCATTCCGAGGAGAAATCATTCGAGTGGGTGCCCCGAGAGCGGAAATGAACTTTTCTCGCAGAATATAATTTTGATGTATTTGTTTTTTGCCTCCATAGGTCTTATCCGGTAATTTTGCAAGCTCTTTCCGAAGCAATTGTCAGGGAGTCCAATCCCCCCGCCTTGGACAACATTTGCGGAGCAGTTGCTCGCCTCATAGTTACCAACCCTGATTCAGTGCCGCTTGCCCAGGTGTTGCCCGTGTTGCTCAATCATTTGCCACTGAAGGAGGACGTCATTGAAAACGATATGATTCAGAAGGCGTTCCGCGTGCTATACTTGAAGGCTCGCCCCAGCATTGTTGCACATCTCGAGCAAATCCTGGTCATCACCATAGAGGCGATTTACAAGAAACAGATGCCAGACGACGAGACAACCGAGAGCGCGGTGGCCCTCATCAAAGAGATTCGCGCCAATTACCCGGAACAGTTTAACCAAGTATCAAACGCGAATCCGGAAGTTTTCAATTATGTGCAAACTCTGTAAGCCCACATATCCCCGCAAAAACCACCAAAAAGCTCAGCACACATCTGCACCTAACTTGGCTAATGCCCAAACGCCCTCTGCCCGCAGATTCATTTATTGGAAGTGATGCAAGTGTCGCAAGGAAGCTTTATATACGAATAGGTTCGAAGTAGTCTTAAATTTCAGTTGTGCTTCTGGAGTTTAATCATTCAAGATGAGCGATCTTTAAAATTGCGAGAAGTAGCTTTTCTACCGGCCGAAAAAGAGCGGCATTATCTAATTTATAGCCACATCCAGTGAAACGTGAATATGTATTGAAACAATAAAGAGATTACTTGTTTTCAATAAAAATTGTTATTATTTAAAGTCTATAATTTCACTGAAACGTTTTTATCTTCAATCGAGAAAAAGTTAATCCTAACTTATAGTTTTTGCCAGTTTTTGTCTACCAGTGTGCATTTCGGCGGATGACAACCTCCTGGACGATGTCTGCATGATTAGCGTGCAGCTTGAGGTTCGAGTCGACGTCCGTCCAGCGCACATTGGTGGCGTCGTCACCGGCCACTAGCTCCAGTTGTCCCACTTGGCTCCCGTCTTCGTCGTGGAAGTTCAGCGCAGTGGTTTCCATCCAAGCGTTGTCCGTGTTTCGAAAATCGTCTACATACCCTTGATATACCTGGACGCCGCCCGCTTGAAAAAACCGCTCCACCATGTTGGCCTTGTCTGTAAAATTCAATGCCTCCTCTGTGAACTCCCGCTTAAGAGTGACACTTACATTCTCGCCAGGATCAACCATACCACCGGGAATGGCCCACAGCTTGTTGTCGGACCGCTGTATGGCAACCATCTGTATGATATTCCTGGGGAAAACAGTGATGGAATTTACATAAACGCAGTTGACGGGCGATCGGGCCAACTTACTTGCCGGTGATCGGGTTGGTCACAATGACGCCTTGGTCATTCCGCTTCCAGCGCGTGACAATAGGGTCTGCGGCATGATTGGGACCCCATCGGCCTAGTGAGCCACGTCCCGTAAGTCCTGTACGCCCGATCGGATTTAGTGGCAGTCCATTCTGCACGTTGTAGGCACCGTGGAAGGACTCCCGGTTCACCTGGCCATCCAGCTGGTTCCACTGTGGCCGGAATGCATCGCTTGGCAGCGGAGGATCAGCCCACACCTGCCCACCAATGTGCGGCGCCGTGTAAGCAGGCGGGCAGTAGTCCGGGAACGGTTCCGACCAGAAGTCCTGTTCGTCGGACACTGGGTACCGGAGGACGGAGCTGCGCGGATACATATTGTTGCGGCACATCAGGTGCCGGAAAATGCCCGGCTTCACCATAGAGGACATCATGTGGGTGGAGCTTAGGGAGTTTTCCGAGATCAGTAGCAAAAACAGAAGCGGCGGCAGTGCAAACTCGAAATTCGTCATTCTCTGAGAAACAAACACAAACAAATGATTTTGCTTATGCACACCAGGGGTCATAAACTTAGTGCTCGGAATTAGTGTGATGCAATTTGATGAAGTTTGGTATGAAGAAAGAGGAAGAAGAATATCACACAAAATTATTTCAAATTTTACGATTTTTAAAAAAAGGGGAATATGAAATGCAGATCGAGTGTTTTGCTAGTTTTAAAGCCCTTGCAGTAAGCACTGCATTACTTGAAAGCGTTTTATTTATAGGACCGGATTGGTCACACTAGTTCGCATATTTTGAATCTCAAAGATTCCCTTTATTGTTGTTTTGGGTAAATACAAAAATTTGAAGCCAACAAACTTAGAATGCCTGCTTTCCACTGAATGTCCCTAACCAAACGCCTAACGCCTACATTCTCGTCACAGGCTAATCCTGACGCAGCGGCAGAGTTTGAACTTCAATGCCATCATTGGTTATGATGTTGATCAGCACAGAGTCGCCGGTATAGATGTCGCGTTCAGCGGCCGAGATGAAGGTGTCGGAGGCAACGCTCACGGCCCGCTCCTTGGTCAACTTGATCTTGTCCGCGTCGGCCAAGTTCATGTTCTTGTGGCCAATCTGGTTGTCCAGCACCGGTTGCAGCAGGGTGCCGGCAGTGCCGCCGGCGCGGTACGTAGCCTTTTCGCAGTGACCGATGGGATCGTACGAGTAGACGACGCCCTTGCCCTCGTTGTCAATACCAGCCAGGATGTTCGACACGTAGTACGGGAAGAAACGGCGATTGTACATGGCGATGGAGAGCATCTGTGCCACGGCCTCCGTGGTCATGGTGCGCAGATGAGTATGCTCGTAGCTCTGCATGCGCACCTTCATCGATCCGGTCAGCGAGAGAGTGTCCGCCCAGCAGCCTGTGGAACCCAGCACCGTCTGGTGCGACAGCTTGAAGAGTTTGCTCTGCGTTCGGGAATGAATGTTGTAGCCACTGCTCAGCCGGGTGTCCGCTGCAATCACGGCAAAGTCATCCCCGGCGATGGCCACAATGGAGCTACAAACAGAGACCACTCCGGTTAGGTGGAAACAATCAGCCGCATCGCGATTCCGTCGAGAAACGTTTACTCACCCGCCATTGGACTCGTAGGGCGAGAAATCAACATGCTTCACGCCGGGAACCTGGTAGTCCGGGAATTGCTCGAAGCCCAATCTGCTCATGTTTTGTGCTCAAATTTACCAATTAACTCGGCAAGTAAAAAACGAACGAAATGATTTGCAAGTTTGCAAGCGGCTAACCAAAATCACAAAATCAGTGTGACCGTTGTTGAATAACGGACACAGCCTGCTTATAAACGTTATCGATAGGTATCGTTGATTTTTAAACTATTTTTTCTATTAGGAAGTATATACTAATATACTTAAAAATGTACATTTCAAATGTTATTAAATAAAATAAACTTGCACTGCGAGCTGAATTTTTAAACTCAACTCTCTTACGCTCTCATAATTTCCGGGTAAAGATAAATGATAAAAAGATAAGATAAAGATAAAAAGATAAAGATAATTATTATGCACTTATTTTTACCATATACAGATTACAAACAGATACAATTCACAGAACTAGATTTTATTAAAATGTATATTTTAATGAACAGCTCGGTTATTTTCAACAATCTTTGGATAAAATATGTGCAAATGTGTGTTCTAAGCTATAGCGGCCAGGTTTTCAATACGTTCTCTTTGCAGTTGCCCCCGGTTCTTCTCCACCAACGCCTTGACGTCATAAAACCATTTACCTGCCGGGAAAACCATACCAAGTTCGTAAAAAAGTACAAAATCGGTGAAAGAAACTATTTACCGATGCTGGTGTTTTGCAGGCAGTCCTTAAACGTCTGACATCCCTCCATGCTCGATAGCACGCCGAAGACCGAGAGATCCGCCAGACTGGGCTGTTTTCCGCCCATGAATTTCGTATTCCTCTTTTTCAGCTCAGTGGTCCACTGGTCTAGGGCATCGTACATGTGCGATCTGACGTCGTCGGTAAGGGCGTGTCGGCGCTTTAGCATCTTAGCAATGGCCCACATGGCGGTCGCACCGCAGTAAACCATCAGATCGCGCTCCCATTTGGGGAAGTGAACGTCCCACTCGCCAGCTTGCGAAAACCACTCAAAAGTCTCTAGGGACTCGCCCATGGTCTGATAGCAGTTAGGCGATATCAGGTGCACCAGGTGGCTGTCGGCCCAGCTTCTCCACTTGCGATCGGATCTAAAAATAGACACTCGTGATCAAAAGATTTGCTGGAGGAAATACATGACACTGATTAACTTACTCCTCCGTTTCCTTTGAAACCCCCTTGGGCGAGTGCTCGCGGTACATGAGGAAGTATTTATTCAATATGTCGTTCTTCTTTTTGCCATCATCGTCGAAGAACGATGTGTGCGGATAGAACTGCGCCAGCTCGCCGATGTCAGTGCGCTTGTCCTGCAGGTAGGTGGCTATAAGGGATATAATGGCACTTGAGTCCACCATCTGAACGTATTTGCCGTCCTGCTGTCGGATGAGCACCATCGGCACCTTCTTCACCGACGACCAGCGGATGTCTTGCCGTAGGACGGCATCCACTTCGACCACCGAATAGGAGATGCCCATGTAGTCGAGGAAGGCGCGCACCTTGCAGCAGAAGGGACACGTCTGGAACTGGAACAGTACAATGTCCAGACCGGATGTGTCCTTGGGGTTAACATAGCGCTTGGTTATCCGCACTCCAGCAGGAATCCCGCCCAAGCGTGTCGGCTTCGTCTCCTCGTGCTCTTTGTGCGAATTTCCGTCCGTCCAGCGCTGGTACAACGTATACACCGATCCGGTGGCGGCGCCCACTGTCGCCCCCAAAATCGCGAGCTTGAAAGTTCCGTTCGGCTTCTTCTTGCCTCCGCCGTTTTCCACCGCCACTGCAAACTGGCGGCGTGCAAATGCAACATCCAGATTCCGTCTACGGGTCAACAGGGGCAAGGCGCCCCTTCCGCTTGCTGCCGGTAGCGGACGGACGCCTGCCAGGACGGTGGCAGTCGCTAGCCGAAAACATGACATAATTTGCACCTTTGTTTTGACTTATACTTAATATTATGCAAAAATTAGCGACTTATCAGCCGCGACTAGAAGACCAGTGTGAAATAATACCAATACTTTTTTCGGTTCCAAAATATACCGAAAAGTTTTAAATATACCAAATACGGTCCCCTTGTAAAATATGTTAGGCATTTAACCTTAATAAATGTAATCAAAATATCTGTTAACTAAAAGAAATAAAATCATTTTGTGCGACATATATAACGTTGCAAGCTTGAATATACTTGTCGTTTATGACCTAAAAACTTCTAAACATGCACTGAGAAGTGTTATCGATAGTTGGCAACAGAGCTGTTGGCAAACAATACCATCTCTACCCAATACAAAAAACAAACTTTTTGTAGTTGTGTTTTACAATCCTCGCGACCTTTGTTTATAAACAAAACCAGCGTAGCGATGTCTGCTTCTGCGGACAGTCTGGCCGCCGCCGCGTCCCTGGACAAGTACGGGGACGAAGACATCTTCAGCTTGCTAATCCGCTACGGACTTTATGTGGGTGCCCTCTTCCAGTTCGTTTGCATTTCGGCCGCAGTGCTGATGGAGAATAACCCGGATGTCAATAGTAATCCGGAGACCGGCGAAGTGACGGAGCGGGAGGGCGAGCCGGTCCGGACACGTCTGCACAAGATCCGGAAGCTGGAGAAGAAGAAGCGACGATAGATGTAGCCATCCGTAATCTATAGCTAGCCTAAGTACTCTCGAATGCATTTAGTAAGATAATTGTAATAAAACCTAGTCTACAGTGGTTAAAGTATAAACCTGAAGCAGAACATTTGAAATCTCCTATGGCTGTCCTACCAGCAGGCTAGCTATGGCGTCTAGTCCTGACATTCTATGGAACAGGTACAAAAGGATTTGCCACTCATGCAGGCACACCTTCAAACGTGATTTGGAATCTCGTTTGGAATTTGGTTTCTGTGGCATTCTCTGTGTGTGAATCATCTCCCCAGCCCTTGATCGGCGTTTTTTGGGTGAGGTTGCCGCCCTGGCACAATTTTATGCACATGACTCAAGGGGGAAAGCTCTACGCCCCCTGAGAAAACCACCACCCACAGTGGAAAAACTGATTTTTAGTTTGGCTGTTATCTTTAATTTGGGAATAATATAAATTATAATAATCGTAGTTATTATGTTGCTTGCAATGTTGTTGTTTCTTGTTTGTTTTACTTCCCTTTTAACTATGTACGTATGCATGTGTGTAGTGTGTGTGTGTGTTTTGAATGCTTTCTCTCTCTCTCTTTCTTGCTCTTTCTATATATATATATCAGTATATATATAGTAGAGTCCATGCCGAAGGATGCACAGACAATTATCACTATGAATTATTATTAGTTTTATGCAGTATTTAGTTTTCGTTTTTTTCATGAATTTTGCGTGGAATTACATTTTTAAGTCAAAACTCATTGTGAATCTTCAGTTTTTTGGGGTCGCAAAGGGGGCGTGGCAGGTCAAGGCGGTGAAGGGATATCTCGTTTCAAAAACGATCAAATTTCAAATACAACAACTAGTTAAATGGATATCGAAAATAGGTCTGGGGAAGAAGGGGGATTAGCGAAGGATCGACGGATGGTAAATCATATCTGTGTAGCAAGATATAGTATCTCATCTCTAGGCCCAGAATGTCTAAATGTGGCTATGTTAAATTCGAAAGTCTCGGTACTGTTTTGTTTTTCGGCGTTACGCTATTTACTCGTACTGTTTCTGGTTTTCTAATTCGCTTTATCGTTATTTATCATTATCATCAGTGTTCTTGTTGTTGTCTAAATTATTGTTTTTAGTTACTCACAAGTGTAGAGTCATCATCGTCACAAAATATAGTATATAATATATATTTGCTTTAACCCACACACAAAACATGTTCACATCCTGCTAACCCATCATCGCTCTCTCTGCTTCCGTATCGATCGATTCTGGCTTCTGGCTACGGTCCTTTTGCCCCCGGGACGCTGGAGCTGGAGTTGGAGCTGAAGTCGGAGCTGAAGTTGGAGCCGAGGTGGAGGTCCAACTAAGCCTCGGGCAGCGGCTTAAGCTCCTTTATCTGCTTGATCAGATAGGCCTTCTCGTCGTTAAACTGCTCGTCCTCGGAGCGATCCGTGTGGAAGTTGGTCAGAAAGTCGACCAGCTTGGTCTGATTGCGCAGCAGGATATCCAGAATGGGCTTCGGCTTGTTGGGATTTGCCACGAACACCTTGAAGACGTGAAACGCCTCGAACTGAATGTTGCGCGACTTCTCCTTGAGCATGTTCATCATTAGCTTGAGGTTCTCCGGCTCGGATATATAGCGCGTCATCACGGTGAAGTTGTGCCGGTCCAGCAGCAGTTCTCCAAGCAGCTTCAAGCTCTGACGCCGCGTCACATAGTTCTCCGAGTTAAGCAGGCGCTGGTAGTGCTGCGAGAAAAACTTGTCGTAGTTGGCGTCCAGGAACTCCGCGCACAGCAGCTTGTGGCGCGTGAGTAGCTCCTTGAACGTAGAGAAGGCATCGCTGGCAATGTCAAATGTGGAAACCTCCACGTAGCGGAAGAACTTGAAGAACTCATCCGAGTGCAGCATGATCTTGGCCAGCGCCTCGTACCGGGCGCACTCTCTCAGCATGGTACCGGAGTTCAGGGCGATCTCCGGATGCGCATCCTCGTAACCGCCCATCAGGGTGAACAGGATCTCCGGCTTCGTGCATATATACTCGACGGTGGGCGAACGGGTGCCAATTTGGCGGCGCAGCACATTATTGAAAATGAGTGCCACATGCTTCTTGCCCTCGAAGTCGATGCGGTGCAGGTTCTGGATGAGCAGCAGTAGCAGGTTGCTGTTGTATAGCTCCTGGGACAGCTGCGCCACCACATAGTCCGCCGGCGGCTCGGCATCGCTGCTCCCGTAAAGCATGTTCTTGATCGAGACCAGGTTCTTGCTGACGTCCTCCTGCGCCTTCTCCACCTTGCGGTCGCCCGCCTCCAGGGCGTTGATCGCCTCCTTCAGCGACTTGACCAGCTCCACTGGCGACTTCTGTGACTTTCCGAACAGTGGCATTTCGCTGTCTTTTCACTCGAAATAGGACTTGGACTTGGATATGGATTGGGATTTGGCTGCGGATGTAGTTGTCGTTGTGGTTTAGTTGGCCTGTCGATGATGTCTCGTATCTTCTGCCGATTATGCGGCTGTTCAGGGCCCTTCGAGTGCTGGCTTTGTGGTCGTTCTGACAGTTGCCCAATTACCGACAGCGAAGACGCGGAAAACAATGCTTGGCAATATTAACACGGTGGAATATTCTATTATTATATATTATTTTTTTCTTGTCTTCCAGGGATGAACAATTTCGATTGGCCGACGTTTCGATAGGCCGTTGGTTCGATAGGACTATCGCATGGCTGGCGGGCAGTGTTGTAAAGGTTCGTTGCCTAAACACGACACTTAAATTAAATTTTAAATTAAGACTCTTACATTTTTATAATTAATTAAGATTAGAAGAAATTGTAAACTTAAACTGGTTGTTAATCAAAATTAAACTAAACTGAAGAAGAAATCATGAAAAGATTAAATGAAAATTGTTTTATTTTTCCACTCAATACATTCAACTTATAAGTTTGTCCCGCTAAAACAAGAGAGTTTGAATTCTTTAAATATCGTTTTATTTCTCATTGAAGTACTTTGTTTTTGATCCGTTTTAGATATTATTCTTTAGCGCTTATCAGGCGCTTGGTGTATTATAGAAGTTACAGAAATATATTTGTGTATATAATGGGCAACTTGTCGCGTTCGCCTCGCCACAACAGAGCGTTGGCCCATTTTTCTTTTTTTTTTTTTCTTTTTGACATTTTATCGATTCCGGGCCAAGGAAGAGGACTTTTGGGTTATAGGGAAAGGCATAAGTTTATTGTATGCACATCAATATTTGTAATTATATCTGTAGGTTTTGACCGCTCTGCATATTATCGCAGACTGCCCATCGCCTTACTGTCTCGATTCGTTTATTTTGAAATAAATTTATTTGGTTTTGTTTTTGTTCTTTTTTTTAATTTTTATGTGATTTTCGTTTACGTATAAAAGTTGTTTAAAATCCTTGAAAATATCAGATAATAATTACAGTTGGTTGTGTATACGTCTTAAAAGCATTTCGATGCGCTTCGTTCTCGAACATAGATTAAACATAAATCAATATAGTCTTTGCCACTAAACATATCAATCAATTTGAGTAGTAGTAGTTGAAGTTATCAGTTAATAATAATATCTTTGGGCTTTGCTACTGTGTATGTAATGGTTACGCCGAGTACATATAGATCATGATCATAGACATATATACTGCGGGGCTTAAAAACACACGATCGAAAAGAAGTCGCGCCTACGCATTCCGAAAAAGTATCAAGTTCCTTTCTGTTTCCATTCTCTCAAAGGGGGAGTTTTGTGGTCGTTAAATGTATCATATAATATAATATCTTTATCTTTTTATCTTGTAGAAGTATGTAAATGTATAGGTATAATAAAACATTTTACGACTAGTATATGTAAATATATGTATGTATATGTATATATGCATTGCGTTTTCTTTGTAATTACTAAGTTTATTGAGATATTCTATGAATATATTTCCTTTCATTCTTAAGCCATGTCTTGTGTCTTTCTATGTATATAAAACAAACGAAGCGCGAATACGTTTTAGGGGCGGTTGGAAAGGGGTTGAGTGGGTGGGAGGTGTGCCCTCACTTTACAATTAAAAACAAGGATCCTCCCGCGAGACCTTACCCAAATTTGCTTAGCAACTCATTGTTGAATGATTTCATTTCTGTTTTTTTCGGTTTTCTAATTTCTTGTTTTTCTGGAAGCTTTCGTAGGGGCTCTGCACAGATCTGACTAGATATATATGGGTATATATAATAGAAGCTACTACTACACGCTACCAAGTACGATACATAGGTGTCCTCCTCCGATTTTAGTTGCTGCTGTTGCTAATGTAGTTGTCATTTCTTCTTCGCTGGGCTTGAAGTTTCGTTTCCTGTTTTTCCTCCTCCTGTTTCCGGTGTGCGACTGTCGCTTCCGTTTCCGGTTCTGCTTCCACGGGGGATGGTGTGGTTGGATGATTGGGTCTACAGACTGGGGCCCGATCACTTGCGCTTGATGAAGTTGCCCTCAGCATCCAGCCAGATTCCCTGATGTTGGTCGGGCGCGTCCATCCCCCGTCTTATCATTTACCTGTTAAGCGCATTGGAGATCTGACGCAGCGACTGACCGACCTCGGCCACCAGGCGCTCGTTGTCCTGGACATTCTTGCTGCCGGCGGAGCGCAGGTGCTGCGACTGTGCTTCCACCCGCGTGACCAGCTCCCGGAACTGGAACTTTGAGTGTGGCGGCATCGCTCCGTTCTCCGCGAAGATCACGCACGAGTTGTGCAGAATGTTGAGCTTGTCACTCAGCTGCAGCCACTGAGATCCGGCGATAGCATTCACAGGATGCTTGAGCGAGCCCTCCAGCAGTCCCACCAGCTCCAGAATGCTCTCCCGCGATATCTGGGTGGAGCTGGCCGGTTCGGCCAGTTTGGCAATTGGCGTGGCGTAGATGGTCAGCTTTGTGGGCTTGTGTGGCACCACTGGCTTTTGCTGGATCTGGGGCTTCTGCTCGTACAGCGACTGGGTCATGTCTGCTGCTCCTTGGCCTCCCGACCCCAGACCGTCCGAATGCGACTGCTCCTCGTCATCTGTGAAGAGTTGCGTTGAATGAGAGGTTTTTATTGTGCTGCTGGCCTGTTGCCTGCTGGTGAAATCTCTACTAGAGGTGCTAATGGATGTGGTGGAGAGGTTGGAGGTGGTGCAGTTCGGGGGCGGTGGTGGAGGGGCTGCCGGTGGTGGCTTGTTGCCCAGCTTGGCTGGAAGAGTGCCACCTGCATTGGTGGCCCCCGATTTCATCCCGTACTTGGGAGACAGTTGGGCATTTGGTGTTCCGCCGCCATTTACCACCGACGGCTGTTGCTGGAGGATCGTGCTGGTGGCATAATCCGGCGCCGGTGGCTGCTGCTCCCACAGTTTCTTTAAGCTATTAATACTACCTGTGCTACGTCGCTTGCCGAGATCGCCCTCTCCCGCTGCTCCCGCATCCGCCTCCACATTCGAGTTGGTTACGTCGATTTTGATTTCAGTCTTTTGCATGACCTGGGAGAACTTCTTGCTGCTGTCCTCCTTCCGGTTCAAAGTGCCCGTCGTATTGCAGTTGGCATTGTTTGTTACGGCTACAGGAGCTGCCGCTGGAACTGGAGCTGGAGCTGGAGCTGCCGGCTCCTTCTCCTTGTCCACCCGGCGCAGATGGGCCTTGAAGTCGATTATGGTATTGGCCGGCTCCGCTTTGGCCATTGGCGCGCACATCTTCTTCGGTTCGACTTTCTTCAGCTGAGCCTTGAATCCGGACCCAGTACCATTGCCGTTGGTCAGCTTTTGCTGCTGCGGCGGCGGCTTTGGCAGCTTCATGCTCTCCTCTAGTTCGGTGAAAAGCTGGGAGACAGGGTCCACGACTGCGATGCCCGAGCCGTTTGCCAGATGTGAGGTCGGAGCACTATCCTTACCAGACGCCTTGATTTCGGTGATTAGCTTCTCCTTGAGATCCTCGGGTGGACTGCCTAGCGAGCTGCAGGAGTCGGTGGAGGGCTCGCGTTTTCTCAGAGACACTCCAAATCTGGAGCTGGCCTCCTCCACACTGGGAGCAGTGTTGCTTACATCGTTGTGGCTGCTGTCGTTGTTGTTTGTTCCGTTTCCGTTGCTTATATTGCCATTGTTTGGCAGCTGGGCATGCAAGTGCTGCTGGATGGCCTGCACAGCGCTCTCCGGCGCCGGTGGAGGAGGCGGTGGTCCCCCTTCGAATTCCTCGGGCGGCGGAGGCAAATCCAATGGAGGCGGTGGAAACTCAAGGTTCGCCAGAGCTGGCTGCACTCCTGATGCAACTCCCGTGGCACTCCGCTTGGGTGAGCTACTGGAACCGCCCGCTCGGAAGGAGGAGAACGTCATCATGGTACCTTCGGTAGTGGTGCGATGACGCTGCAACTTGTTCAAACTGGCAGCTGCATTGTTTTGCATGGTCACACCTCCCGACGAGTTGCTCCTGATCATTTGCTGTGGCGGAATGGGGCTGGCCTTCGGATTAATTCTGGCAGCTGGAGGCGTGGCGTGTCCATTGGCTGGTGGCAGAGAAGGAGCAGTTGCCGGAAGAGCAGGAGCAGCCTCACTACTGTCCTCAAGGCTGTCCAGATAGGCACCGATTCTGGCACCCTTGGGTAGTGTGCCGTAGCGGTTCACCACCTGCTTGACATTCATCACCTCCAGCGCTCCCACTGTGATGGGATGGGCACTGGTTACCACACCGTTGTTGCCATGATGCGGTTGAGTTGCTGGCGGTCCTGGACCCGGAGCCAGTGGATGGTGCTGGGACCGCTTGCTCTGCCGGGTCTCTAGCCCTCTGTTACCCATCACGGGTGTTCCAGTCGGACGCTTGAAGGAGCTGTGCTGCTGCGAGGATCGAGGACCTATGCCTCCTCCTCCGCCGCTGTGAAGAGAATGCTGCATCTTGTTGGTGGCAGGAGCGGCTATCACTTGGCTCAGGCTCTGCTCCAGACTATCGCCGGTGGCATCTGTGTCTGGGTCAGCTGCCGGATCCGTTTCGGAGTCGTATCGCTGCGTCAAGCTGTTGATGTCACGGGCAAATCCTACCAAAGTAAATGGTAAAGAACGATTAACTTGGAATCGATGCATAGTAAGTGGTTAATAGAATGCGTCGTGCCAGGTGCTAGATGCTGGTTGGTATTAATGATCAGTGATGGGAAATACCCTAACATTTTGGAACTCATTCAAAATTGTATTTATATCTTGGTATAGAACAATTGGAGGTTATTAAAAGCGCTGATCTATGTAGGTACTTTCCATCACTGGCACTTGGATATGAGTTAATCCTGACCAAAGTCATGTGGTGTGTATGTGTGCGTTGATGTTTGTCGAGCGGGTAAAACTAGAAAACACCAAATTATCAACTTAAAAAGATATGAGTATTTGAGCATATCTGGTATAACCTTGAAAGAATGCATTAAAAACTAGTTTTCCTAAAAAAAAGTTTCAATGTTCTTAGATCCATCCTATTTTACGTTATATAGGATCCATAGTTTGAAAAGCCTTATTGAAAAAATAAGATAACATAATTTAAAAACAAGAAAATACTTACAAGAATACTGATATTTCTCATTATTGACTTTCAAGGATATAAACCAAACACATGATAGTTAAAGTAGTTATAACCAAATATAAACAACATAAGTTAACAGGCACCAACATAAATAAAAGCAATAAAAATAACAGATAATACCAACATTATAATAATAAGTATGGAGATGGTTAGAGAAACATC